TTTGCAAGATGCATGGAGCTAAACAAGAGACAGTATATCAGATATAAGATTATAGTAAAAAATCAGTTTTAGTCTCAACTAAACAGCACCACTCACAGATATTGTTGTAGGGTAATAATCATTTTAAAATGCATGTTTAGGAACTGCCTTTGTTTTGGTTTAAAAATCATTTTCACAATGAATGGTCTTCTCTTGACACATAAAATGTGGGTATTTAAGTGTGATAAATTCTGTAGTCATTATATTGTAACTCCGATCAATAATCCCGAAGCGGTTCTCGGTTGCATTTGGTCTGTTATGTATATAATAACAAGTGCTCTATTTGTACTTTATATTTCATAGTTATCCTTGGCTCATAAACTGCCTTGAGTAGTGTAATAATATCATATGTGCATATAAAAGGTTTTGTATATTAAACGAAAGACTGATGAAGGTTGTTTTGGAAAAATATTGTTCGTTTAAATATGTTGTTTGAATTCACAGTTTGGAAACTTTCAGTATGGAAAATATGATTGCTTAGACATACTACGGGAAACAGTGGATGACCCTTGAGAAGACTCAGTTGATGTGTTGTTCATAATCTATTTTAAGAAATATTTGTTTACTTGAAAGCACATTGTTTGAGAGCTACTTGCCAAGTGTGTATAATTATTTGTCAACAAAACGTTTATCGTTTTATATATTTCAGATATTTAGCAAGTACCCAGCTTATAGGATCTTATGCAAGGCGTGTATTTCCGTGTTGGGATGAATCGGAATTCACAGCACAATTCAAGGTATCAGATATTCAGTCTTTATTTCATTTCAATTATTTGAAGTTCAATTTGCCATTTGTCATACTAGCGGACCAGTTCAATACCACTCACATATACTGAACGAGGTGATGCTTGTAATTTAAAACATTTGTGTGTGTGACATGAGAGATTCCATATAATGGTCTTGCATGAAACAACGTTAACGTAAATCTACCTAATTCCACGAGCGGTGACTGGTTTTCCGTTTGCAGCCTCTAGACTAAAAACTAAATCAAGTATACGGCCGTTTGTGTTCTCGGAAAGAACGGTAACTTCTGCTGCATTGTCGATGGTATAGCGGAAATTCGTCATCATATAATAGATCTAAAGTAGACGTGCTTGTCTATGGATAAGGTCATTGTGAGCACATGCCGGCGGATGAGTTTGTGGTGGAAGGTTTAAGGCTAGGGGAAACTGCAGTGGGTTTTGCACTTTCTGGGGGATTTACTAGCCTTAATTACTGTTAGGACTCCACTGTTTGGAATTTCTTTCTTCAGGGTGTCATAACGTACCTGTTTAACTTTGAAGGTGGTTTTTTCACTAAAGTGAGGATTTTTGTTCGTCAGTCTGTCACTCCACGATTGTGCAAGTCGGCTTCTGCATAACATGGACAGGCAAAAAGTGGCATGAGTTGTTGTAGTTTCGGTGACGCAAACTTTTATGTTCAGATTTAGTAAGAATAGAATGTACATAAACATGATGAACGTGAAAACGTAAAGAATATCATAGCATGCTAAAATATATAATTATATTTAGATGTCTAAATGTACACACACATAACTATACATATACATACACATAAATATATTGTAGCGCAAGTACTTTTATATCAAAGCTCAAAGGGCTTGTCCTGGCTTTTGGAGAAAAAAATTATGCCCTAGTTACTATTCACGTCTTTTGACGTTGTCTATTATTCACTCATATCTTGATGGTTTTTATTCTAGTATGTGTTTACTGCTCATTTCAATTATTACATGTCTAGCTTATTTTGTCTGATTATAAATGTTTAGTCATGAATTCAGTTCCCTCACTTTCTCAACTTCGCTTCACTCTGTTTGTAATATTTCTCATTATCATGTCTGTCTGTACGAACAATTGCCTGAAATAAACTCATTCGACCGAACCCGTATAAGCCTTCTGATTACTGCCATTGAACAAATGAAGTTCGTTTAAGTGTGGTATACTGAAACTAAAGGGGAGATTTATTTCATGGCATATTCAACTGTTCATAAATACGAAGTCATATCTGGGTCCACTGAAATGATTATCCCCATTTCGAATTCAAAGTATCCATCAAAATATAACTATATATAAATGTACAATTATGTATAAAATGACTACCAGTTATTACCTGAAACCGTACCCGCAGAACAAGTATCCAACGCAAAGAAATCAATTGGTTTATTATATCTCGTGAAAAAGATATTGGATGTTCAATGACAAGGGACAAACTCAGTTTTTCGCTAAATATACCCGATCAGGGTGTGCTTTTCAATGAAGATGGCAAGGATATTCAGAGCTGAACAACGCTTATGTCCACAAAAACCTTGAAGTTTCAGAATACCTAAAGCCAAGCTAAACCAGAAGTCAGGAATGAGGATGATCGAAGTTACATTTAAATGACTGTTGAAATTTCAGGAGATGAGTAAACCAAGTTTACTAGTTGACGCAAGGAAATCTGTTGTACGGCGTATCGGACGGTAATTTGGTGTGAATGCATGTTCGAACGCCTTCAGATAGGACGTGTCCATTAAAATCACTGGGGTTTATATAGGTGTCGAAGACTTACAGAAGTATTTCTTTTGGGGGTTATATTTACTGTTACAAGTAGTTCATCAATCCAGTTGGAAAATTGGTCAATATAATATGAGTTCCATGATGATATAGGATACTACGAAAGATAAGCACCATGACCCTGTGGAATTGTTCTAATTCATTTAGCATGTTACCTATTATTCAAAATCAATATTTGCCACCTTTTCGTCTTTCAGGTCAACATTATACGCCACGAAAATTTTCATTCGCTCTCAAACATGAATTTGGAGAGGACGGAAGTGTTGCAGGGTGATTGGCGTCTGGACGTTTACAACACCAGTTTGAGGATGCCCATATATTTATTGACGTTCGTAGTGTCACAATTTTCAAATATCTCGAAGACAGACAATCGAGGAAGAAATGTAAGTTCGATCAATCACACTTAGTTAATATTGAACACATTATGTTGGTTCTGTATCGAAACCGTGTTGATCTACATTCTACAATGAGGGAGAGCGAGATCGATCATTCCAGAATGTTGGTGGATAAGAAAGTTCCAAGTCACACAAAGACATGTATCAGCAGATAGAGGGGTGCCAATTAAACCCTCCTGAAGCTCTTTTAGAGTCCATTCTTATGCTTGGTTTAAAAAGTATAGTTAGATATAGGTTTGATAATCCGGTCCCGTGAAAACAATCTTACGTAGAAAACTCATAAAACAGAAAATTATCCTGTTTATTTAAATCGTTTCTCAGCAGCTAATGTGTGTCCTCGTTCACAACAACTCGGGACGAAAGACGAGGTCAATGCCCTTACTGATGAAACCAGAGAATTAACGATAGCTTTCAAGATTAAGTTCTCAGTCCTGCACAATCTGTTCAAAGAAGAAATTATGTCGGAGAACAACTGAAAAGTGATGGACGAAGTAATAAGTTTAAAATTTTTAAAACTGCTAGATCACACGAAGTATCTATATAAAAATGTGGACGACCTAATCATAAAAGCGGTAAAAGTCACAACATATAATGATTTGCTTCAATTGTACGATATAATGACCAAAATCGCTAGATAACATAATACGTCAGACTGATTAGTCCAAAACATGGAATGAAAGTTAATCACTGATATTCAGGGACAGTAGAAGATGTGCATAGAGTAAATTAAAAAGCTCTCAAGTGGACAAACCACACTGAAACTATTCGACGTTTAAGCAACTCGTAAAAACCTTACTATACAAGTTGGATCAACAAAAATCGAAGAAATCACTAAAGGATACTGTATCGAGATACCAAGGAAATGAGATCTAGGCAAGTGTGAGAAGGAAAGACTCATAACACCGATTTCAGTATCATTCACAGTTTTCATCAAAGCTTTGTTGAACCGAGTAAAAGATTCAGTGGATGAGCGAACTCAGGATTAAAAGTTAGCATTTCTTAATGATTATAATTTCAACTTTGAGATATTTTTTTCTGCGAAGAAGCATCTGACAGCACGAACAGAAGAAGATTTTGAAGCATTCTTCGACACCATCGTGTACCTGAGTAGATACTTAACATCAGATGTAGCTCTTACGACAGACTACACAGCTACGTCTTGCATGATGGGCAATTCATTGGTTCAGTACATGTTAGAACCGGTGTCTTAAAAAGTTTCTAACTCTGCCCCTCTCTTGTTTTACTAGTAGTTGATTCGATTATGTAAATCTCAACATCTCAGGAGAAGCACAGAATACATTGAATAGCTTGGATGTTATTAGCCGATTTGAACTTCGTACACTCACGACAATAAATGTGGATGAATATGTCTAGAGTAACAGGATACTCAACATATACAAGGATGTTGATGTTATAATTTTTTGATCAAATATGGTGTGTCGAAATACTAGTGAGACTGAAAGAGTCTTCCTGCGCCATCTTTAAGTAACAATGTTTCTAAGTGTATTTCATTTCTTCATCAGACTGCTTCATTTATATATAGAAAAATTCTTTCATTTAGTTTACTATTTGGGCAAGACCAGATAAAATTCAGTTAACTGAATATGCACTTGATATCGGCATAAAATTATTGGAGTATTTTGAAGATTATTTTGGAATCCCTTATTCACTTCTGAAAATGGGTAAGTATCTTATTAACATGGGTGTTCTCGTTTAAACAATGTGAGTCACTTGATACTGTACAATTTAAATTATTCACTTCGACAATAAGATCTGAACACTTGTAAAATATGCATGCATGCCTAACTAGATCCGATGTTATTTTAATTGCCTTAGTTATGTTTTTAAATAAAGTGGATTTATTCTTAATAGGAATATTCAACTATTTGACTAGTTAGAAATATCCGAAAAAATGTACATGCATGATTAATCCGTTCGTTAGGTAATTATAGAAGTGTTTTAAAATGGTGTGAGCATCATTTACATTTTGAATATATTTTCCATGATATTTGTAGATATGATTGCAATTCCCAACACTTCCGAGAATGCAGTGGGAAACTGGGGTCTGATTACTTTTACTGAAGACATAATTTTATGGTATCCGGAAAGTGATTTGTTAATATCCAAATTGGATTTGACTTTATTGATTTCCCATGAAATTGTTCATCAGGTATATTTTATCTTTAAATACAAAATAAATAGTCCAATTCATGTTTCTGTCATTTGAAAGTAGTTTTGAGAATAGCATAGCAGCATCTGAATAAAACTGAAAACCAATTGATTCGAAAATTCGTCTCCAGCAGACAAAATGCACAGGACGGTTTGACATTGCAACTAAATCATTATGTCAGATTCCTGTGATACGCATGCAGATATTCGAGTCAAAGATTTTGAACACATCTACAAACCAATCACGTTCGGTTTCCAAGCGTTATGCCAAAACCTTGTGTTGAAGGTGGGAAGACGTGATATTTCAGATAAAATAAGTGTATTTGCTTGCAATTTCATAGTGTCGAAAGAATACCGAAACGTGCTAGAGAAATAGGCGAAAAAGCAGAAAAAGCAAGATGGCGACCGCGCGAGTAAGGAGAGCGCGTTGCGAAAGTGCTAATAAACAAAATGTTCGCTAAAATGTTCACTGGTACAATTGGTTATAATAACGGATGTTGCTATTTGAACAATCGTGTTTTATTTGTAAGAGTGAAATCACCAGACACTTTTGTGTGTTAGTTTGGCTATTGTTCATTGTTCATAAACATGAAGCAAAATAATCACTCTTAACGTCCACAGTTTCCCCTAATTGCGGTAGCTCATGTTTCGCCACATAAGTTCAGCATTACGTTTACTAATAAGTTAAGTTACCACATTTGATTATATCAAACACACTACATCTGGATTTCCTTTGAAATCACTTTGCGACGACCAAATAAACAATGTCATTACAATGTGCAATCACCAATCTTAATCACTTAACTGTATTATTATTGTAAATATCGAAACCCCATAGTAATTCGAATGTACTATGGTTACCAGTCTTCATTGCAAACATTTTTTTAGTGGTTCGGAAATTTAGTTTCAATCAAATGGTGGGATAATTCGTGGTTGAATGAAGGCTTCGCAACTTTCTTCGAATATGCCGGAGTAAATTCATTATATCCTGAGTGGAATATAGTGAGTTACATGATTTCTTTGAGGATTTTATCAGTTCAGTGTTTCAAGTCACATATACTGAATGTCACTTCGTAAGACACTCAGAATTGTTTGTTATAGAACTTAGCCATGTTGTGTGAAAGCAAGAACCTGAAAACAGGATTCCCTGTATTAGTTAACAGCACACAAATAGAATGTTATGCGTCTTATAACATTTTGTTAAATGTAGTGTATTTAAGAACTGAATTTAAGTAATCAAAAGTGCAAACGTAATTTCAGTCAGATGTTATTGGTCTTATTTTAAGACAGGTTATAATAAAAAACCAAGTATAAAATGTTTTGGTATATCATTTGAAGAGTTCATATATTTTAAGATAATCAGTGACCCTAAACTGAATGTTCAAAGATGATAGGAGGAAATGGAAATACTCTTTTACTATAATGTAGATAATAATTTTCAAGTCAATTAACATTATGTCATGAATAAAATAATTTCAATTTTTCTATCAGGTGGATGAACTACTGATAGTCTTCGAAGTGTATGCTGCACTTGATATTGACGCTACGTCGAAGTCACATCCAGTTATTTTTCCTGAAATTGATATGAATGACTTTAATGTCCTGGATGAATTGATCACTTACAGTAAGGTAAGTTCTATGGTAAATTTTGTAAGTAAAATGTTATAATTCTCCATACTTTTGAATCCTCAGTACAGTACCGAGGACACTAAGCAATGTTTTGAACTGTTATAAATGTTCCTAAAACAAATCCATATATCCATAAACTACCTCACTGTTTATTTTTCTTGACAACTCTGCTCACCAAAATGAAGTAAATCTGTCGAATAGGGGAAAAAGTAAATGTAATCAAACTGGAAGTAAAATCTTTCCGTTTAATTGCATCATCAGCTATTAGGATACTCAGCATTTCGCAAACGTTATACTCACTGTGTGAGTGTAAGCATTCCGTTCCACTGTTCGTATAGTTTGTAATGAAGTTGGTTTCTATCCTTGATTCCTCTCCAAGACCGACTTCTCTCTCATTCTTTCGCCACCTCACGCCTATGATGCGAACGATTCGAGTATGCGAAACATTATTCCTGGTCTTCTAAAACTCCGCTTCAAAATGCATGCTGATTCTGTTAATTTTCGGACCTTGTGCCAATTAGGAAAACTTGCTTCCTTAGTTACGATGAATGCAACTTCTCCAAAATGCATAAGCAGAGTCTTCATAGTGTGCGGTTTGTGTCTCAGAAAGCCCCACTGCTGCTTCCTGTGGCCTCGATGGTGTAGGAATGTCATTACTCTCTGAAGCTGATATAGCTCTTTTAGACTGGATTTCAGTAGACAGCGCTCTGCAACTAGGACTAGAATTGGTGGAGAAACTCGCTTCTGACTCTTCGTTATCTGTGCCTACGCTTTCAATCACTAAAGCTCAGATGAAGTAAAAGATGAATTTTACTGAGCATTGTCGGACCTCTTCAAAATATTTAGGCGTTCTGATGCAGTAATAGATGCTGGTTAATGTAATGCTCAAGAAGGTAGACTAAGTGAAAAGGAAAGACACCTGGGCAGATCTTAGTGTTGTGGCTTAAAGAACCGATAATGGAAACAGTCTGCTGCAGTTATGCTCAGACAACGGCCTATTTCTGGTAAATAATAACTTTAAGCACAAGAAAAAACAAGTTTTGAGATGTTGACTTTCACACTCGTCTCAACACGAGACTCACCTAGACCACATCTCTACCAGCCACTGATGAGGAGGCTCAATTAAAGACTACCTCTCATTCTGGAGCACATGTTTAGATTCTAGTCATGATCTACTACGATTGCGTATTTGTCTGCGTCTTACTGAACGTAAGAGAGAAACAGCAGAAAAATCCTTCAGAGTTCTGCTTAACAATAACACAGCTAAGGATATATTATGGGAGAAACTAGAAAAACAGTAAGGCGGTCATCTGACCAATGCCCATCGCGAAGCAGCTTGAAATGATATCCGGAAATCTGTGAAAACAACACTGATATCTTCCTGTAAGGTAACTCAGAAGGTTAGGCAGAAACAGTGGATTTCATTAGCATCTGTCTAACTGAAAGATTTCCATTCGGAAATTAAGAAACCACCTTGACCCATCTATAAATACCTAAAGTTGTATCGAAAGTCAACGTGAACCATAACATTCACTTACTGTAGAAGTATCCATCAGAATGAAAAAGCATATTGTTCGTCCTAATTATATGTTTGACTTTTATAACCATACGAATTACAACTGTTTTTAGCCAATCTTCGACTAGATTAACCTCAAGATTCATAACTGAAATCATTGACTAAACTACTTCTTTCCACATTTGATGCCTGTTTGATATCTTTTGATTTTCTATATTGCATTTAATAATTCACAGGGTGCCTCCGTGATTCAAATGATGGAAATGTTTATGGGACACAAAAAATTTATGGACGGCATAAAAGTATGTTGTTTTAATTGATTTTCATTGAATGTAGCCGCAATGGTCATATTTAAAAAGTGAACAGATGCATTTTGGTGAGTAACTGACCAAATATTTGAACAGTTCTGGAGATTTTCTAGCAGAAATAGTCCTCATATTATTCATTCGGATATGCATCAGCACAATGCAACTTCGAACAACTCATCACTAGTTGAAAAGTAGTTTCCAAAGTATTATCTACTCCAAACTCTAAAATGCAACTTCATCAAAAAGTGTTTCATTAAACGAAATATTTCAGCTTAAATATCATCATAAATAAACAGAAGTGCTCTCAAAATCAAATGTCAGATGATCAACTGATAAGCTATTTTTACAACATCTAACTCAATCGGATATGTTGAAGTGATTACCTCCTTGATTGCTTTTCAGTTGTTCTCCATCGTAGTTCCCTGTCCACTGAGAAGATTTTTAAAGGCCTGGAACTTATTGCTGAGGGCTATCTTGAATTCGTTGAGTTCGCTGTTATCTTGAAGAAGGGAGTATTGAACGTTTGTGATGTTGTCCGCCTCGCTGTCCTGTGATATTTGAGTCCCAGTTTCCTCTTCATCTGAAGCCACATCGGTTCTTTTATTGATTCTCACATCCTCCTTCGTTCTTTTGAAATTTTTACTGATGCAGATGTGGTCGATTTGGTTCTTTGTAGTGTGATCTGGTGAAACCCATGTAGCTTCACTTAGTCGTTTTAGTAGGAATATGATGCCACTTATGACCAATTTTTTAAAAGCACATATGTGTTTTCCATTGGCAGTTAGGTCCCCCATCAGAATCGTTAAGTCCTTGTTGGGCATTTCCGGACAACTGACTGCAGCCTCTCGTAGATTTGATTTTCAACGTCAACATTGTAGTTGCTGGTAGGAGCATACCGTTGGATGACGTTCGATGTAATCCCATCTTTCTTTGTTTTGAAGGATGCTTTGATGATTCTGAGTTGTGAAGATTCCAAACCTATCAGGGCTTTTTTTTTGCCTAAATGGACAGTATCAGTGCAACCCCTTGCGTATTTGGTTCATCTTCGCCTTCATCGCGAGAGTGTGACAGCAGCTCTGCTGAAGCTAGTTTCCGTCATCCACCTTCTACCGTTGTATTTCACCGATTCCAAGCATTTCATTTCTGCAGAACTTAGATGGTTCTCCCGGTATCCCACATTGCTCGAACATTCCATGCACCTAAATTAATAGTTACTTTGGTTGTCGGGAGGGGAAACAGACTCATGAGTTTCGAAGGTTAGTGCTAGACAACAGCAAAAATCATTCACTCATAGAAAACACAAACAGTACTTGATCTATTGCTTTCAGGTTTATTGTACTTTTTATTCTGAATGAAAATAAGAACACAAAGCTGTACTGTAAAATTCGTCAGACAGGCTTTTAAATCTCTTATTTTATTCTTTACTACTTGCCATTGAAAATTTAGAAATAACTTGTGAAAATAGCTTTTTCTGTATTTATTTTAGAATTATTTATTCCGAAACCAATATAAGAACATAGATGAAAAAGACTTATGGAAAGCATTATCCGAAGTAAGTATTTGGTGAACATTCCACTGTTAAAACATCTGATCAAATTTCCGTTTGTGTACATTTGCTTACTTGATTCCTCCTGACCGAAGCACATTATTTTATTATTGAAAAAAAGTATCTCTTCAAAATATTTTATGAAGAGTTGGTATATTTATGACATTATCCCTGACATACTTTAATTAGTTACATTTACTATGTGCTACCTGCTATTCTGCATTGTTCCGATCTATTCTTTAATGCTATTTTGATAAGACACTAGATTCTATGGTACATTGAAGTTTCATTCATTATATGGAATTAACCTAGGTAATAACTACAGTGATAAGACAGAAATGATAAGTTAATGTACATTGTCATTTTCTGGACAGTTGCGTCAAATTATTCAACCAACAGTTTACGTTCCTAATAAATCGAATCATAATGGATGTTCTGAAGTAAAGAGTGAATTACAATTAACGCACTCGAAAACATGCTCCATACATTAGAAACACAATGATATTTAAGATATTGTAAAGTTTATCATTAAAAACCATAATGACAGTAGCCTAATCAAAGCTTTGTTTTCATCTCGAAATTAGGTATGGAAATCCGAAAATAATCATCTCGACATCGAATTCATTATGAATTCTTGGACCAAGCAAATGAATTATCCACTCGTAGTTGTTCAGCGAAATCAGTCTAATGTGTTCCATTTTGAACAGTCACGTTATCTTCAATTTCAAGATGTCGATTCTTCTCCAGAAGATGAAGCGTAAGTAAACAGTATTTCAATTCAGGCTTCAGTTATATTCAGAAATTATCAGTAAAAGGACAATGTGCAATGTTGTGGCCGTTATCAATGAGCCATTTGAAAAGATTTCCATTTTAAAGTCTTATCTACGACAGCATAAACTTTAATCAAGCCTATTCTAAATACAGAAATAATACTTCACTGACTTCTTTATACTGACATTGATTGAACTGTTGCATTTCATATGAGTAACAGAGTGGTTTGATCATGGTTCATCAATATGTTTTGTTAACTTAATTTACTTAGCTCCCTATTTTTGAACATATATTTCCGAATTTCACTATTTTCTAATGGCCATTATTCACCTTGTGTCATTTAGAAACTCCTGGATAATACCAATAACTTACGGGTCATCGAAAACGGTGAACTGGACTGACAGTGACATTTTGTGGATGGTGAATAGTACGTTCATTATGATCATTTATTATTAATACGATATTATCAGATAGAGTTATGGAAATTTGTTTTTACACATTTGAAATCATCAATCAATCATTGTTTGACCACCATTAGAAACCTGGAAGCACTGGACGGCCGTTTCGTCCTGGCATGGGACTCATCAGCAGTGCGCGTCCACGACTCATGCACCTCGCAGGATTCGAACCCGGGACCTCCGGTGTTGTGCGCGAACGCCTAACCATCGGACCACTGGGCTGGCATCGAACAGTGTTAATTTCTAACTCTGACTGATCTACGGATTTTGCGCGACCTCACCCATGCATATTTCATATGATGGTCAAAAATTAAACAATCAGCTTGAAAAACCCTTCTCAGTAGTAAAGCAAAAGTGGTCTTGTGCAATGAGTGACCCGCCAAATTTTATCAGTGTATTTTAAATATCACATGAGAGAAAACATTTTACCGCTGGCTCAATGCTAGATAGATGAGGCAAAAAATAATCGTCTAATCACTATACTCTTATTCAGCTGTTAAACGTCTAGCCCGATTAATGTTATTTTATCATTGTGGTAATATAAGTTGATTACTTGATAATTCCTCTGTTCTGTCAGGTACAATGAATCAAACAATGGATGTTGATTCGGATGATTGGTACTTAGTGAATGTTAGACAAGCAGGATTTTATCGAGTTCACTATGCTGACGACAACTGGTTACGATTGATAGATCAACTGCAAAAGAACTCCAGTGTATGTTTAAACTGTGTCTGTTTCTGTAAATTGGAACATACTGTTTCTTTTAAATATTTTATATATGATTTTGGTAATAACCAAACCAATAAAGAAGAAGAATGAATTGCCATGTCATGTATGCCTTACAATGTCTGGTGTGTGCATTATACTGTACGATGTTACTCGGATGATGCGGGTCACAACCGTTACTTATATTCTTGACAAATATACAGTAGGACGAGATGTACAAACTTATGTGCAAGTTGTACATGGATAAATGTCAAGAGTTTTTACACAAACCATTACAAAATAACCAGTAACATCAAATCAACTCATATGATTGTCGCATAATTGCTTGTCCTAATACCAGTCCTAGCGTTAATTTACAGTGACCTGCAATGCGAAATTGTGACTTAACTACAGATATGCTTTAGTATGTGCCGTAGTTCAGTGAGAGAAAGTTGCTACAGACGACAGTTTAATATTATAAAAAGAATGAATCGCCAAGTCACATATAATGTACATTGTATAGTCTGGATGATTATAGTTTACGTTGTTAGTCAAATTATGTGAGTCACAAGGGCTGTGAAATCGTTGACTAAATCCAAACATTTAATAGGACAAGATACACAAACATACGTGCGAATTGTATCCTGGTGAAAGTCATGACTTTTTATACGAACCACTGCAAAATTACCAATGAGATCAAATCAGTACATCTGATTGTGGCGCAATCACTCGACCTAATACCAATCCTAGCATTGGATTGCAATGTTTGAGATGCGGATTCGTGATTTACTTGCAGATATGCTTTGGTATGTACTCTGGAGAAAGAAGGTGAGGTTGTAGTGGCAATCGAGTCGTGATTGACCATGATCACTTCTACAAGCAATTACGAAGCCGTCACTGAGAAGAAGATTTACTCCGTAGTAAAAAATATATTTGCTGGCGATTTTGTGATATCGAAAGAATACCGAAATCGTGCCAGAAAAGAGGGGCGAAATTACAGAGATGGTAGAGCTAAAAGGCAGCAAAACAAACAGAAAGTTTGCGCATAAAGAGTGTTATAAACGAAAGTACAGTTAAACAATCACTGGTACAGTTGGTTATAGTAATGAACGTTTCCATTAAACCAATCGCGTTCTCTTCATAAAAGTGGATTCACTAAAAGGTTACCACAGATGGCAGCTCAGTATCACAATAAACAGAATTTTCTACACTGTAAATCTCTACTTTCGGCTTTTGACTATGTATAACTAATTTCATTGTAATCTATTTGAAATTTCACATGCTACTTATTTATTATTTTTAGGCTATTCCAGTTTACTCACGCTCACAAATCTTGAATGATTTATTCAGCCTTGCAAAGTAAGTGTGAAGTTCAGAGAAGTCACTTTCATTCTGAAGATAATATTAATAAAAAAAAATTAATAACTTTCAATTCCAATCACAAATCATGAAATCATTTGCTAACACAAAACTTTTGATGAAAAGTTGTCTGTCCTGTGTAGTAGGCCCTATATCATGTGAATGTGGCAGGCCTAATTTTCTTTCTTCCTCAATCAAATACACTCAAAATATACAAACGGTTCTCATGTAAATTTCCGTAAAATGTAAACCAGCATAAGCTTGTGGTGGAACACTTCTATGAAGAAAACGCGATTGGTGAAAAATAAACATTTATTATTGTACTCGTTTTGTTTAACTGTACCAAAAACACTGAATTGCTCGCAGCGTTCTTTTACGCGTTGCTGCGATAACTTGCTGCTTTATGTAACGACTACTTTCTCCTTCAAATTAATATTGAACCTCGTATTTATTTTTATAATTTTTGACGGGATAGTAATGAATATTTAGTGGTGATCATAGTCAATCTCGACTCGGTCACCATCAAAAGCTTACTATAAAGAAACCAAATACCACTAACTTAATTTTCTGAAAATTCCGGCTACAGTAAATTTTCCTTCTTCGTCTTACACATAACATATACAAAATATTATACTTCTCTCAAACACTTGTTTCGGGTTGACTGCAACTTTAATAGTTGCGGTGAGAAAGTAATTAGGATTTAGTTATTGTGTATGAAGAAAGTGGATAGACTTTAATGTTGTGAAATTTAACATCCACGAATAACTTTCGCTATCTTGCATGTAAGCTTTATTTATTAAATGTGTAGAACAGTACTATTGCTTACACTAATCATGATCATTTCAGTCAGAAGATAAAATTCAGTTGGACCCCTTTTTTAAGATGATTTAACTGTAAACTACGAAATTTTAACTGAACAATGAACAGGCAAATATCTACGATACATACTCAATATTTAAATAATCATCTCACAACTATTTGTTTATTTCAATTCTCCTTTTTATCAGTCGTGATATTGTACCATATACCTATTTCCTGAATGCGACAAAGTATTTAAAGCATGAAGATCGGTTCATCGTATGGAAAACAACAAGCCGAGCATTACTATACATTAACAGTATGCTTGTTCTTAATGAGAATTATGGAGTTTTTCAAGCATATTTACAAACTCTTCTTGACAGTCATATTTATTCAGTAAGCTGGTCATATGTTAATGATAGTCAAAACCCTGGAAAGATGTGAGTGATAATATTTCTATATCCGATGTTTGCACTGTGACGTATCATTCAACACATTCTCACTAGTAACTATGAATGACATTCAAAGGCAACTAGGAAAATGGTTAACTACTTCTTGTTATGTAGTAAACGTCTTTTCATCAATATGTTTCAGCGAGTTATTTCAAAAATTCATTTGGACTGGTAAAAAATCGCATATATGTCTAAACTTATGAATCAATCACTATGATAAGACAATGTGAACAATATGTTTAAATAGTACTAATAAATGTCCAAAATTGATGAACTGTATATGCCCTCACTAAAGAACAAAACTTATGGAAATCAGTTCCTGAATAGAATGATCTGTAATTAGAATGGTGCGCCGGGCTTGCAGACAAAGGTTTACCATGAATAATGCTTCTATCCAGTTTTACTAACATGAAACTGATAAAAAATAGTGGGTAACATATGAAACTGACGTCTCTGAAGTAAGCAGATGCATGACAGTTTCGAATTTCTGGTCAACCAACACTTCAGGAACTATATAACGAAATCCATAAACCTGCATCCATCATTTGCGAGTAGCAGATCAAGCAGCTCCATCTAGGTAACTTTACAACTCTCTGAGTTTGAAGGACAGGTGAATGAATAATAAAAGGATTATTAACTTTCAGGTCGTCGTTCTAAATACAATATTCAACATTTTACGTATTAAAACTGAGTTAAAATGTTTCATTACATGCCGTTCTTTAAATACTTTCTCAAGAAATCAACTGAATGACAAAGTATTTCATGTCATGTAGGTATTTTAAAGACATTTTATCACAATCAAGAATCTGTCTACTGCACTAGTAACAAACTAATTTAGTTCCAGAAAACTTACTAGTGTGATAAATATACCTGTTTATTGGAATAATGTAAACATCCTTCTACCTTTTATTTTTCTTATTCAGGCTTCTTGACAATGTTTTGGCTAGACTCGCTTCTAAAGCTGAACACCAACTATTCGTTAACAAAGCCAGAGAACTCTTTCGACAGTGGATGTCGAGACCTGGAGTAAATCCGTGAGTCACACAATTATTATACCTAATGTGATAAAATAGATTACAGTGTTTTTATACACTTTTATATCATGTTCACTTTTGTGCGAAACAGTGCTTCGGACGCAGTTTACAACCGATTATGTCATCGGTTTGACGTAGTAGTTACTGGCAAACACAAATGCTTGGAATGTGTGCAGTTGAAAGTCTTCTTGGTGGACAGACCTAATAACATAGTGGGTGTGGCGAAACAATTAATCAAACCATGTCTGTCTCAGACAGATAAAATGCACTTTCACACTGTTTCAATTCATTAACATCAACTACCACATAAAATCACAACCTGCAAGAAGATTGATCCAGTAGCATCTAATGATCAAATGAAGATTATTTTCACAAATTTTGCCTTTGACGATTATGCATATATATATATACTTGTGATTGACGGAATGGACGTCTTCTAGTCACTGTTCTTGATATGATTGCAGCATTATGTTCACATTAACACAACGAAGGTATGGTGACGAAGTGTATAATTCACTAAACATGATTAACATCACCAAGCAAATCATTAGACAGCAACAAAACATGCTTTTTGTATCAAGCATAATCATAAAAATAATTATTATTTATGGTTAAAACGCATTCAAGTCTGATGTAAGTCAATGTCATCGGCAGGTGCTATTTAAAAACACACATCCCAGCTTATGTATGCGTCTAAATGGCTTCGAAACATTAATCTATGATTGTACGTGGCACAAACAAATACAACTAGGAATCCATCCAATAACTTATGAATTCTTTCAACAACAGAGAAACCACTAAGAATATTTTCACATTCACATGGACGTTTTTTAAGCTCGATACTTATATCCCATACATGCATATGGTTTCAAGTCTCAAAAATTCATTTATATGAATCTGAATGATTTCTCCAACTAAGTAGTTTCTTTGTTCAACAGCATACCTCATAGTTTACGATCAGCCATTTATTGTATGGCTATTCATTTTGGTGGTCAAAGAGAATGGAAATTCTTAAAAAGTCAACTGTTGTTGGGCAATAGTTCGAAAACAGAAGAGGATATTGAAAACATAATTGAGGCATTAACGTGTTCTCGTGACATATGGATTATGAAATGGTAAGTTAAGACGTGGTGCTCAATTTCATGTTTTTATACTTTGTCGGTTAAGTGTTAACTCGTTCAAATACCCACCTATGTCAATTCACAGATATTGATACACGATCGAAATCTGATTGCTATGATAAGAGGTTGCATTACACTGATATGGCATTTTCCAGAAATATTTGTGGCAATGGAAATGATATAATGAGTGGAGAGGCATTTTTTCTTGCCCATTCAATATTGACTACACAATCAAACAATGTTCAAACTAATGACAGTATCCAGCATGATGTGGCTTGACCTAGAGATCACTGCACTGGTATTTTATTCGCTCACATCATCTGCAAAAGTTTTACTGGCGTTGTAAAATACATTCATATTCAAACCAAAAAGCGTGAGAAAACCTTATAAGATTCCATTTAATGTAAACTAACTAAACAGATCATGCTATGTTAATCTTTCCACAACATCAGATAAAAGTGTTGAATATTGTAACTGATAATACTGGAAATCCGTTTTCTCAGTTGCATAGTTTGATTGTGAATATTTGATTGTTCCTCTGAACAGCTTCATCAACGCGACATCAATAAAAGATGAAGTATTTCAATTTCCACACTTTTCTGAGCCTTAACTTTGATTGATTCTCCCTACTTATCGTCGCTTCAATTGAACCTCTCAGTCTCTTTTATCCTGCTCCTGTAAATATTATTGATACTAATGATCACATTGACATTCTTTTCGTTTTCTTTTTGATCCTGCAATATCGAAAGATATCATCAGTTTATCGTTATCTAAGAGATGTCTAGTGTATCTAATCGAGTGATCGGAGGAATCAACTACGTGTTCATAGGTTTTTAAACTTCTCTCAATAAACAGCATATTTTTGTTCCTAGGAGTGGTAGAACTGGATATAGGGAGGTGCTTGATTCGAGTATCCCATCGCAACCTGAAATATATGTTAATGATGGGGAACAATTAAAGCGTTTCGAAAAAATCATACATCTTAGTGAACAACGTTCCATTCAGTGAGAATCAATTGAGCCACAAATCTTTACTGTCATACATCATTCCTGACCATCCTACCCTCTAATTTTTCAGCGAAGAAAATATTCAATAAGACCTAATTAGCTGACTGCAACGAGTCTACTGCACATTTCTTCCATCTCTTTAATAGGTACTTGAACTGGTTTAGAGAAAACAGAGCATTCTGGAGATATCTTCATTATTTCGCCGAATCTCCGGTCGGCAATAGACTTTTGTGGGACTGTCTAAGTAAATTGAATAATTTAACGATAAATCAGTGAGTTTAACTTATATATATATATATATATATATATATATATATATACTACTTGTAGTTTTCTAGCGTTTTATGTTTTACTGATGAATTTTCATTATATTAAGACATGAAATAGATAGACTTAAAATCAATACCTTTAAACGTAAGTTAGAGAGTTAAAATCTTTCAAAGTCTATCGTTTATTGGTACCATTGATCACCTTGAATGCTCACTCATATCCCATCGGAACGGTAGCCACGATAGTGAGAACGATGTTATTTCGCGTAGGTTTGTGTGAGAATCCGTGTACTGCTTTGATTAGGCGCAATTTTGTCTTGTCTGGCCGTAGATATAGTGTTTTTTGGTGTTTCTGCATGAGTACATTTTGTTTGTGTGGAGTGTCGTTTAGCTGTGAGCTATTTGTGCCGTGGTAAGCCTCGTCCCAGTGAACTAGAACTTATATCCATATCAATCGCATCAAGTTCAAAGCTGACATAAGATTTTACAGATCATCAATTACGCTTTCATACTGTCAGGAAAATCCTACTGAAACCTTGTCATTTTTTACATATCTTTCCGTCATAAAGACCGTTTCAGAAAACGTAAATGCAGCAAAACCTTGTTTCAGATCTCCTAGTTTTTTCTACCACTAACAGCTAAATCATCACGATTTTCGTCACCAATTATTGATGAGGAGAACGTATTCAAGAGTATGGTTGCTTTCTTACTACTGAAATGCTTTCCTTAGTAATACATTATTGCTTGGATTGTGTTGTGACGAACCTCGATCATCCAAACCGTTATTTTACTCTGCTTACCGTTCGTGTTAAATTTCAAATTACTTTACCGATAAATTCCTCCTGTGTGGCTAGCCATATATATATATATATATATATGGTCGAGTGCCACTATGTTTCACGTTTACGTGCTGCTTAAATTATCAGCCTACAATAATGATACACTAAACAAACCTGATAGTCACTGATAATATCAAATCAAACAGAAAAACCGAGAGACAAATACTGTGTAAAACTGTAATACAGTTTGCCCAACAGAAAGTGAATTCATGCATCGTTTGGTCCTGAAAGAAACCTTGCACTACTAATATCAATATATTGAAATCTTTTATATGTTTAGGTAGAACTTTTTGTTGATACAGGATAACTATCTGGTAGGTCACCTACTCTTCATGCCGTAATCAGTCGTTTTACAAAGATGATAATCGTTGGTGGAGACTAACTAAAAGCATTGTGTCCTTCCAAATTCCTTTTCAGAGACTTTGCAGAATATATAGTGAAAGCAATAACTGAAAATCATTGCGCAGTGTATGATGAGGCGGTTGACGAAGAAGTTAGTGAAGCCATTTTTTAATTTGTAATTTGGTAATAATCGATAGCCCATATTTCATTATTCTTAACTCGGTTATGTTTGGTTAAATCAATAATATGCAAAGCAGTAATAAAAAGCGACATCAAGTGATTCAGAGGATGTTAATTTTGTTACAGACAGAACTCATCAATTAGGAATCATCGCAATACGTTTAAAAATTCCAAAACATTGAGAGAATGAGACCTGATCTCATGAGAAGACAATTCGTTAACTAACGGTAAAACGGCTGAAGAACGAATGCATATCATAGGTTAGGAAGCAGCTTGCATACATCGAGACGATTATGTCTCCATAGTATTTGGCATGCAAATAAACTTCCTTCTCCAGTATAGGTCTCACGCGCAAGCAGCCAGTGTACCGTTTTTAGCGCTGACCGTGTTCAAACTTCCACACCGCAAATCATAATAAATTCTTCTATGCATGTAACATTTCTCGTACAGTACTTGTTCGCTGCTTCATGTATATGTTGCAACATGATCATTTGTAATGCAACCATCAATTACACCTTTGATAATTCAGAAGGTTTATCGCGATGATTATACGACGCCTGAATTTCATGCACCCTGTGCAAAACTAAACAGTCAGACTTCCATGAGCTGTGGTTCCAGATGTTTTCTTGGACCAATTCGCACCCAGTATCGATTGGTTTTTTTTCACTGCGTGGCGGAAACTCCCGAATCAACGCTTTCCACTTCATCAATCAGATAACAACCTATAAGCGTTGCATGATAATTCCTGAGTATCAGACAAGATATTTTACATCGTACACGAAATTGTCAAAGTATCCACCAAAATCATTTTCTCAGGAACCAAATACCCATTATTTTTTAGTATAACAGACTGTTTTGTATTCCCACCGTTTATCGATTCAAATTAAAAGTGTCACGTTTGTGTAATGTTTCCACCATATGTGAGCATATGAAATGATTATTTTTCTTGAAAGGTACTTGCGAGAGAAGCTGACTATCTGGGAAATGTTGAACTGAAATCAAAGATCAATGATTTACTTCAGAAATACAGAGAGAAAGTAAGGTGGACTGAGAGCTATTCTCCAGTTATTATTCAGTGGTTGAACGAAAATGTCCTAATGCCTAATTATTAACAGTTGATCGGTTCGGTAGATGGTAAATAACTATTTACTGATGCACAAACTCTATATAACAATTCTCATCAAATTTAGTTGCAATTGTCATTGGTTTTCTTATTCTGGCAAGCCGTTTATGTAATTGTACATTCAAACAAAAAACACTTTGAATGTTCGCTTTTATTGACATGTTTTTTCGTTTTGTAGTTGTGATTATTCACATGTTTTTAACTTTAAAATAATTTATCTCTGGATTTCTTTAGAGTGACTTAATCGCCCGTCTATAGATTTTGAAAGTTTCTCACTCGTTGTAGGTCTGCAGGTTTCGATGAATTTGTAGCAAGGCTCATCACCTTTGTGACCTGTGATCTTATTCCATTTCGGATGAACAGTCGAATATGCTTTGAAATAAATCTTCCTCTCCACTTCCTTTACGGGTTTGACAGCGGGATAAGTCACAAAATTAAATAGCCTGAAACAATGAAACTTGATGTGGCGCTGACAAAAATATGAGAATAAAGAATAGTTAAGTATGAACATGTGTTCATAAACCACAATATAGTTAAGCCTCGATTAGTAGTTAATGATTTTGCTCTTTCGTAACACAGTTTCTATATGTAGCATAAAAACATTCGACCCGTAAAAAGATAACTGTATTGTGAATGACATTCACCGCTGTACTGCGATTGATGATAACTATAAAATGTGAAGTCAGCATACGTAGTTGCTAGTATTATGATCGGATGCGTTGAGTTATCTTAGAATATGTGTTACTAGGATGGTCAGAGGAACAGAATAATGATTGCGGAGACGAGATGTGCAGAGTTTTAATTCCTTCTTATCGTAAAGCCAGACTGGATTTTAGTCTTTGGAAGGAGATTCACTCAACGTTGTTACATTAATCAACAATCACCAATAAATCGAAATGCACAGAGGTTATCTTCCAAGTGGGAAATTGGTGGACAACTATGGGATCAAAAATCAGGTCAAAGATAGAAACAATCGAAGATATAGAAAATAACAATTTGAGAGTGAAAAATACGCAATCACTATCTACAGCACAAGTTGTCAGTGAAATGTGGGTAAACTCGAACACTCTATCCCTAGATGATTTTGCATCGATGATGTTGTTAAGAAGAACAATGAAAGCTTCACGATCAGGCCATCTAGTACAGACAATGAAACTTCGCCGAAATGTCGAATTTCGCGCATAAAGGTTTCTGAAAATAAACCATCTCTACTTAAACCATGTCTTTTATTTACCGTTCTCGTTCAGGTGTCGGATCAGTGTAGGGACATAAAAATATAGCTAGGGTGTTAGTATCACTGACTCAAAAACGGGATTTTATCATGATTCCTGAAAATGCATGAGTTTGAAATCAAAATTCGATATTACTGGGCTACTCAATTTAAAAACATTAAATAAAGTAGAGTCACAATATAATTGTGCTCTGCACGTTGGATGAGTTTTGTTTAGGATTTCTGTATATGTTTGGAATAAAACATCCAATATTATTATCGGCACATTATTCGATGAATTGATAAGTCAGTCATACTTCACAGAGAGCAATTCATTTACCAAAATTACCATGTTTAAACAATTGAAAAGAGCAGTAGAATAAGAAATAATAAATGAAAAAAGAAAAAAAAAACAGAACAAACAAGACGTATAGAGAATGTGTCAGTAATGACAAACACTGAATTAAAGTCTACCAGTATCAATATTCACAAATTGTTCTGTTAAACAAATCCCAGTATAATGTGTAATGATTGAGATTTTTTGAAGAATGTGTCTATATAAAACCCCGAAAAATCACTGCAATCATTAAGAGTAAGAAATTACATTAATTCAGTTATCAGTTTAACATGTATAAAATTTGTAAAATCTCAACAAAAACAGATACTTAAAGACAAGAAAACAATCTTAATTATATTATTTCAGTGTAAGTACAAAATTACACACTAGCCCAAGTTTTTTTTTAATTAAAATTTTTATCCAATCACTCTAATTAAACAAATTTAGCTTTACAGATAAGCATGCATTCTAGTTAATAGCTGTAACAGTCAACAGAATCGTAATCCTAGCGATGATGATCATCATCATAATAACAATAATACTGAGCTAGTAAATCCACTTTCATATCATGGTTTTTTGGAAAAGAAAAAAAAAGACTATTATCTTAACAAACCAAAAAGATATCGATTACGAATTATGATAGGCATACTACATATTGATGTACGATGTACGAATTGTTATATGTATATTGAGTTCAAGTGACCAATCGATATGATTAGAGTATTTTAAAACATTTCAACTACGTAAACACCTAAACACAAATAAGTTAAGATTAAAGAAGTAAAAAGTTGAAATATTTTGTTTCAAGAGATACACAAGTACAGATGAATAATTGTTAAACAAATAGGCAGAGCTGTAGGATTGACAAACAAGTCCACTGATCAATTAAATTCAATAAGTGTTTGTGAAAAACTAATGCGTATTCCAGTGAACATTGTTTTAATTTATAATATGAAAGAAAATGCATTTTAAAGTAATATTGTTGTGTTTGGAACATTTTCACTTAACCATTTACTGATCACATCACGATGAGTTTTTGTCCATTTAATATTTTCTTTTGACCGTTTAAATAAATCATTTAGACCACGTTTGAGAACATGATTTTCCAGTAGTTTTTGTCCAGAATTTTGCATAGCAAGTACCTAGTGAATTACAAATAAATAATTTTTATTAATAATTATATAATGTGTATACAAATCACTATTGAGTTGTCATTTGTTCCGATTATATTAACTTGTGTAATTGACAAGGCTATACAATATTTTAAATTTGGTGAATCAATAAATACCCCCCAAAGGTAGTGATTTCATTGAACTCCAACAATCGAAAGATTTTGGCTTCTTCGTTGGTCTGTTTAACGGATATTAATAATTTGAAAATCTTAATAAGATTTGCTTTAGTTCAAAATATCTCGAAATCTCTACAAGTGCCTTCCAACCATATTTAAAAAGAAACCAGTAAAATTGTTGTCAACTCAAACGTCATTTGAAGAAAAATCAAAGATTCATTAAACAAACTTGAAGAAATTTTACTCATATTTAGTCTGCCTTTGCTTGTATTTGTACTTAAAAGCGTTTCAGATAAAACTGTTGTTACTTTCAAATTAAAAATGTTAAACTAATTTGTAAACTGATACAGTAAAAGTGATAGGTGCATACCTAACGTATGTATATCCTACTAACTATCAGAAATAAGTGAGTTAATTGGCATGAACTGGTAAACCTCATGCTCAAAACCTCTCTGGAATTTGATAATAGTAGAGTGAATATATTCAAAACAACATCTTGTTTTGGAGTTTCAACATTTTATCACTCCAAACAAACGTTGGTTTTGTCCATAGGATAATGAACCTTCACAATTTAACCATGAATTTCATCACACAGTTTGTTTAAGTAAGCTATAAATCTTTCCCATCATAAATACGGACTTAATCTTGTGTAATGATATATATATATAAATTATCTGGGAATAACTTTTGTTAAGAGAAAGCCATATTACTTTCGTCACAAGTATGTTTAATCCTCAATGGCTAACAGTCAGTACTTACATTAAGAATGAACTAGGTATTGGAGCCACTAAAACGAAATGATCATTCTAATTGTTCTAATTAGGAAAATTTGTTTAAAGTTTATCAATAACGGCAGTCTAGCAGTAATAATTGAGGTGCAAGTTCTAGTAATATGCCAACTTAATATGATTAACATACCAACCGGTTTATGTGTTAAAGTTAGTAGTCGACAACTATTAATTCTCTGGTTTTACAGGAATAATAAGACTTTCAGTTCAAAGTATCAAACATCATAAATTCATCAACAAAATGAGCACAAATTTCAAAATTTGAACTAACTTCTTCTTTATCCGGTATGTTATTTAGTGTGTAATGACGTTTTGACAATATTTTAAGAATTACAGTAAGTACACACCTGGAAAATAAAAGAAGTGGATTTAATCCTTATCTCAGTAAAATTTGTATTGAACGAAGCATAACTTACCGGATATTTTTATGATCAAGTTAATACTACTATCTTATATCGTTAATTATTTAGTAGTATCGATTAGTTTCAAGTGCTTGACATCTTATTAAGGAAAAAACAATTGGAAATGGACTTCATATCCTGAATTGCATGTGGCAAAGGGTATGATTCTTCTCATAAAAACATGACAAGAAAAAAATTGAATGTTAAAAGAGCTTTTTTCCTGAATTACAACCAGATACCATTTCGGCGACAAATCTCTACTGTCTGGTAATGAAACGACTACCACACATTTTCAAAACTATTCCCCAATATCCAGATATATATATTTCAACTACTTGGTAAACAATTAGTAACTCATAAGTAAAGTTTAAAATATGTAACCTGATAATTTTTAGACCATTAACTAAACTAGGTGTTTGTCGAATACTAGTGACTATATTACAATGAAATCTTTATGCTTAAATCTCTCTCGAATTCAGTGTCATTCCCTTATCCGATAGTGGAAAGTATATGACGATAAATTTGGATTAACGTCAATGCCAGATACAAAAACCGCTACATCAAATATCACTTTGCGTGCTTCCGTTCGAGTTTATTCGGCACTCATAGTTTATTGCGTATAAAATGGTCTACTTAATTTTATTATACTCAGTTTAGCCATACATAAGTTGACATGTAAAGCTATACTCTATACCTGCATGAAAGTGAAAGTAGAACAGGTTAATTAAGAAATTTCCGAGCCAAATTCTAAAATTCATAACTTCTCTTATTGACAATAAAATGTAAGTTGTGTTAATTACATTTAAGTTACTATTCTGATATAATAAATAAAACTTATTGTCATATTCTCATTTTACAGTAATTACTTATTTTAATGTGATATCGTCTAAAAAGGTGAACTGGAATGTTCAAACATGAAATAAATGTTGATTGAAGGAATAATTTCAAGTGTTTTCTAGTAAACTAATTTTATTACTTACTCATTATTACGCCCAGAGTTTGCAGTTTGATGATATTTGCAAATGTCATTGAGATCATCAGATGAAGGGCTAAATAAGATGGAGTAGTACAAACTAGTCTTAATTTTATTGACTATCTATATAGGCAATGAAATTTATTTCAAGATTTTATTTTGTAAATACTTTGACCTATTTAATATATTATCAGTAAGTTAAAATCAAATAAGATTTTATCAAATGTTAGAAACTCAATCCTTGAATTAATTTTCATCCGATGGAGAGTAAGAAAACTACCTTGAAATGAACTAAATGAATTTTATGAAAAATCTGTATATTGATGCTTACATGTCAAGTTAAAACTACCTTCACATTTTAGACAATGTAAGACGTTGGGTATACAAACATCAAGTTTCTTTCCTATTATGACTTATTGCTCTGCATTTTCAAGATATGAATTAGAACGAATAGTGAAGATTGTATCATATTTTAAAAAAATCAGAACAATAAATAATGATAAGGTAGTTTTATTTTCATCTACTTTTTAAAAAGGATGGCTGTACGTTAAACAACCCTGACCGATCTGATGCAACAATGGGGTCAACAGGTCACATCGTCTTCCTGTGGCTTAACAGTAAAGGAATAGTACTAATGAAGGTGGACTTTAGTGGACGTGTAAAATCTTCGCATGGACTAAGTTACTGTGCAAGTTTTTTCAGTCAACATCATCACAATAAGTAATATACATATACATACACAAGGAGTTGCACTGATGCTGTCTAAACATGCACAAAAGGCACTGATATGATGGGAATCTCATGGACCGAGGATCACTAAAGCATCCTTCAAAACAAAGAAACAGGACATTACAATGAACGTCATCCAATGCTATGCACATACCAATGACTGCAATGACGACGTTAAAGATCGATTCTACAAGAGGCTGCAGTCAATCGTCGAGAAATGTTCACCAAAGGATTTGACGATTCTAATGGTAGACCTGAATGGCAAGGTTGGAATGGACAACACTGGATATAAAGACATCATGGGACGACATGGACTGGGAGAAAGGAACGAAAATGGTGAGAGATTTGCAAACCTATGTGCCTTCAACAAACTGGTCATCGGTGGCACAATATTCCCGCACAAACGCATTGACAAAGCCATATGGATTTCACCGGACCACACTACTCAAAACCAGATTGACCATATCTGTATCAACAAAAAGTTCAGAAGGACCATGGAGGATGTGAGAACCAAGAGAGGAGCTGATATAGCTTCAGACCACCACTTGCTGATCGCCAAAATGAAACTGAAGCTAAAGAAGCACTGGACAACGGGGCAGACAACATCACAGAAGTTTAATACGGCCTTTCTTCGGGATACCGTAAAACTCAACGAATTCAAGATAGCCCTCACCAATAGGTTCCAGGCCTTTCAGGAACTACTCAATGGAGAGGAAGCAACATTGGAGAACAATTGGAAAGGGATTAAGGAGGTAATCACTTCAACATGTCACGAAGTTCTGGGTCACAAGAAGTACCATCATAAGGAATGGATCTCTGTTGATACTCTTGCGAAAATTGAAGAAAGGATGAACAAGAAGGCAGCAATCAATGTCAGCCGAACAAGAGAAGAGAAAGTTAGGGCACAGGCTGCATACACAGAAGCAAACAGACAAGTGAAGAAGAGCACGAGAGCTGACAAACGAAAATATGTGGAAGATCTAGCAATGACGGCGGAAAAGGCTGCAAGAGAAGGAAACTTGAGACAATTGTACGAAACAACAAAGAAGCTGGCCGGAAACTATCGTAAACCAGAACGACCAGTGAAAAGCAAGGAAGGCAAAGTGATCAGCAACACTGAAGAACAGCGAAATAGGTGGATAGAGCAATTTCAGGAACTCCTGAATCGACCAGCTCCACTGAACACAGCCAACATCGAAGCAGCATCCACGGACATCACAATTAATATTGGCGCGCCTACGATTGAGATCAGTATGGCCATCAGACAAATCAAGAGCGGAAAAGCAGCAGGACCACACAACATTCCAGCACAGGCAATGAAATCAGATGCAGAAGCAACTGCAAAAATATTTCACATCCTCTTCAAGAAGATTTGGGATGAAGAACAAGTACCATCAGATTGGAAAGAAGGATACCTCATCAAAATACCAAAGAAAGGCGATCTCAGCAAGTGTGAGAACTACAGAGGCAAAGTCTTCAACAGGGTATCGTTAAACAGAATGAAGGACTTCGTAGACGCCCAACTTCGAGATCAACATGCTGGATTTCGTAAGGATCGATCGTGTACTGACCAAATTGCTACATTACGGATCATTGTGGAACAATCAATTGAATGGAACTCACCACTCTACATCAACTTCATCGACTACGAGAAAGCATTCGATAGCGTGGATAGGAAAACACTGTGGAGGCTTCTTCGACACTACGGTGTGTCTGAGAAAATAGTTAACATCATACGGAATTTTTATGATGGATTCAACTGCGAAATCGTGCACGGAGGACAGCTGACAGACTCTTTCGAGGTGAATACCGGTGTCAGGCAAGGTTGCTTACTCTCACCCTTTCTCTTTCTCCTGGTCATCGACTGGATTATGAAGACGTCGACATCTGAAGGGAAGCACAGTATCAACTGGACAGTTAGGACGCAGCTGGACGATCTGGACTTCGCAGATGACCTGGCTCTTCTATCGCACACGCAACAACAAATGCAAGAGAAGACGACCAGTGTAGCAGCATTCTCTGCAGCAGTAGGTCTCAACATACATAAAGTAAAAAGTAAAATTCTCCGATGCAACACAACATGCACCAACCAAATCACTCTTGATGGAGATGCCTTGGAGGACGTTAACACATTTAAATATCTGGGCAGCATCATCGACAATCAAGGTGGATCGGATGCAGATGTGCGGGCGTGGATTGGCAAAGCAAGGGCTGCATTTCTACAGTTGAAGAATATCTGGAACTCCAAACAACTATCAATAAAAATGTCCATACAGTTCTACTGTATGGAGCGGAAACTTGGAGAACTACGAAAGCTATCATCCAGAAGATACTAACACCACATATTGAATATATACATACAGAAAACTATGATGTTCAACAAAGACAGATTGTATCAATAAAACTGTGTTTACCTTCTAGTGAAACCTTAAGTTTGACTAAGTTTAGTTTAGAAAGTTTAGAAAATGTCATCTTATTCATTTGTTTTTTATAAAAGATACCTTTCCATAAATGTTGCATTTGAAACTTTCGGGTGATAATCTTACTTATTATGATGGAAAAATAAAGATAATTATTTAATCAAAACATCTTTGTCATCACAGACATTTGAAACAAATTTAAACATTTTGAAATTTAAGAAAACAATATTCTTTAAATTAATCTGAACAGATTGTTATGTTCTACTGTAAATTAATCGCACTCTGAAAAGGTTTCAAAGCTAAAAATAATTCAGTAAATCAGCTTTAAAAGTCTTTTGGTAATTTTATCAACTATGAATAACCAATATCAACTGCAGAATTCCAATTATCCGCAAACGATGAGAAGACATTGGTATTTGCACATCAAACACTATGAACAATTAGAGTTAAGGTGAGATATGGAGGTTAGCCTAATTAACTACACGTGGAAAATTTTCCAAATAAAACTATTTGTTATGTAATGTAATTTAATGGAAGTTGTAGAAACTGGAACCACCTCAGTTAATTTGAACCAATTGGTCACAAATGAAAGGCTATCAAATATGCTACTTATATGATAAACAGTAGTCAACTAAACTCCAACATAAATAAACTGAAATTGTAAACATATGAAACACAACGGAAAGAAAGTAATTTTTTAAACGAAGATAAATAAAGAAAATACATTTTCTCAAACTTACGCTTTGGCAGTTGGATGAGAAGTGTTTTTATGTCTAAAAACAAAATTAGAGAAATTTCTTGAACTTTTACTCAGCTAAAACTGAAGATTTTGAAAAAGAATAAATTTGAGTTTTTATTTATTATTTACCAATATTATTATTTTCAATTACTGAGATATTCATCTTTATTTGGACCTTAACACACATTTTGTCTTACAATTTTAAAATATTCGATGAACGGATACCAGATCGTATCGCGATCCATTTGTCAGCTGTTAAAAAGCCTTGATGCACTAGACATAATTTTCATGTTGGTTTAGATCTATTCAAGGATACGAAATTGTAGCTTTGAACGCCATCGAACACAAAAAAATGCTGTGGTAGACATGGTACATTTTGTTGTATATATATTTGGGTAACAACCATTCAAATTCACTGAAAATATTTGTTACACTCAGTAAATGTGTTAAACTATGTAAAACTCCGGCAAACAACATGTAAGTTATCCACTACGGGACAAGTGAAATTTCTTCATAGTTCCACTTCTTTTACGTCTGCCTAGTTTGAGTACTTACATTTTGTTTTAATGAATACAATGAAATTGTTTTAATCGCTTAAAAATATAGTTAAACTAATACAGTTATTATTAATGAATTATGCAAACATGATTGGTAATTAAAATATACCAGGAAATTGATAATTGAAACTAAACGCTTACTCATTTACTATAAGTCTCCATGCTTCACGTATATGTTCCCATAAAAGTGTCTGACCAATAGGATATAATGCAACAGATGAAAGTGCATCCAATAAATCTTGAGGATCATTTTGATTATTTTTTATGATCCATTCTAAATGTCTAAATTATATAATTAACGTCAAAAAATAAAAATAAAAATTGTCAATTTTAACAAAAGTACTTATTTGTATGTACGTTTGTAATTGTTTCAAGTAATATTAGTTAAATAACGATCTAATTTCAAACTCTATTCAAGGAATACACAGATTTTATTTCTTTTTAAGGGTAGTAAGAGTTCGTTTGGTTTTTTGATAAATTTTATCACTGACTGACATCAGTTATTGTTTAGGAACACCTTTTGTCGTTTCCCTAATTTGATTTGAACTCCAAACTCTACTCCATAACTATTAGTTATAGTTACATAGTCTCAGTCAAAATAATCAGACATTAAATATGCTTTGTATTAGTTGGATTCTGACAAGTAATTTTAAGCCTAATTTTCCTATATTTAATACTATGAGTACACACTCATGAACTGAACCACCAAATAATAAATAAAATATTGACTGTATGATCTGATAGTAAATGTAATGACATTGACTAATTAGGTACTTGTAAAATGGTAAAGCCTATCTATCTGTGGGAGAGAACAAACCAGATTCCAGTGGAGGAGGAAATCAGGAAGAAGCGGTAGAAGTGGAAAGGACACACACTACGAAAAGCACCAAACTGCGTCACAAGACAAGCCCTCACATGGAACCCTCAAGGCAAAAGGAAAAGAGGAAGGCCTAGTAACACATGACGCCGAGAAATAAAGAAATATATGAGAGGAATAAACAAACATTGGACAGAACTGGAGAGGGAAGCCCAGGACAGAGTTGGTTGGAGAAAACTGGTGTGCGGCCTATGCTCGATTGAGGGTAACAGGCGTACGTAAGTAAGTAAGTAATCTAAAAAAAGAGATTTCCTCCGTTCTGACCCAATTATTTTGAAGGGAATAGCGTTTAGTAGAACTGACGAATTAACTTAAATTATGGAAACCAAAACTATTGATCATCGAAACAATACTAAGAGATAAACTTCCTCACAAAACCCAAAAGGATTTAATTATAACGCAAATACTGTAACACATAATATGTATGCAACACAAAACAATAACATAAATAGTACTGACTCTTATACGTTTGTATATTTGACATTAAAAAATGTACCTTCTATTTAATTCATTAAAAAGTGACAATCACATGCAGCAACAAATTAAATGTTAGACAACTCACAGTCTTACTATCCACATATCACGAGAACAAGACAATGCCTGTAAAATGCTATTTTTTTCATCCTCTTTGATATCCGCCTCTAATAAACGTTGTTTTAAGAAATCCCATTCTTTATGTCCACCGGTTCTTATCGCTGTGCAATAAACAGCCGGCCTCAAACTTGGCGGGATCCTTAATCATACAACAAATGCAAGAAAATCATACGGAATAATGAACAGTATTTCATATATATCACAGATCAGGTTATATGGAAACTGCATCGGTTTAATATGTGAAATAAAACTGATTAATTAAACACAACAACACACATCTAACTATTCTCATTTATCGACTAAGGTGAACTCGTAATAGTTTCAAGCATATCAAGTGACGAGCATAACTCAGTAAATGATCTACTCATTTCTTGTTTAGTCGATCATAAATACTTTGCGTACTATAGAATGTTTTAGAGGTGAATCAAACAATTTCTTTAAAAAATGACTCTTATCCATTATTATTCACGTTGGATTTCTTGGTACGAATAATGTATGTGAATAAGTTATTAAAATTCCCTAGGAATATGACAGCACTGAAAAAACACTCATTTCTAAATTACTGTTCTGTCAACAAGTCGACAAGTTTCATGCATTGAAGTAAGATTTAAAACTAATTTGACAAGATGGAATTAAATTCTGACTGAGAATTGAGTAACATCTATTTCCAGTGATTAAGATCAACTTGAAAATAGAATTCTTAGGTCAGATGTGCGCGAATAAGAGATAGTGTAAATGTAAGCTTCTCTCAAACTTCATAAATTTATTAACTAGTTCTGCAGTTATTACTTGTTTATGAGTGTTGTATTCTCTGAACGAAGCTGTTAGATTACACAGCTTTGCTTGTCTTTCCGGATAATACCATCTGGATATACTTCTAATTGGAACTTTCATTTAAGCTACAATACTTTCTCATGACATTAATAAAGAAAATGAGAGATTTGTTATACAGAACTTTCTTTCTGGATAGGTGTACTACTTAAATTTAATGAAGAGCAATAGTGTATAACAACGAGATTACAAGTTTATACTGAGACTAAAATAAATCACATTACTTGATTGTTGTCAGACTCAACATTCGTATGTATCAACATTATAGACGACAAAAAAGACTTAAAATGGCAAGCGTAAATACACTCCCATGACTATAGAAACAGTATAAATCGTACACATAAGTTATGATCAAGCGACGAAAACGAATACAATCCAATAAAAATTCCAGACTACTATACGATTTAACAACAGCTGTACACATTGCTAGTGTCAAATATTTTTCACCGCAACTTTGCATTTTGTAGATGGAAACTAGATTTTCATCTACAAGCAGGATGTATTCAAGTAAATAATATTTCTGAATCTAATCTCGTAAATAGTTAAAAAATAATAACAGCTTAAAAGGAAACTTACAAATTTTTGGCAGGATTAAGCATCCAATTCTTGTAATATTCTCTAGCCATTTTAACGCATAAATGATGTTCAGCTTGACATGCTAATCGAGTTAATGTCAGACGCAACATACTTTAAAAAAAAACACATACAAGAGGTGAAATGAATCGATTTTCGATTAACCTATTTAAACTAAAGACTCAATAAGTTTACTGTAAGGATAAGTGGTGACAATGAGTCCACTGATTCGTTTCTAACTTCAGACGAAATTCAAAAGAAAATGCAAAATTCCAGCGCTAATGAAAATGTATTAGGTTTAGTTCATAGCAAACGATGACAATTACAATAAACTGGATTACACATCTTAATAATGCTTTAGTACAGCTAGGAAAGCTGATTCTTTCTTTAACTGCTAATCCGTATGGATTTCAAACTGAGTAGTGAATATGAAAAGTTAAGAAACAGATGTACAAAGTATGCTGTCTGCCTCCAGCAAAGGTTAAATGTTTTGTCTCGATCAACTTAATTTTTAAGAGGTAAATAAGTAAACATATGTTGTTTAGTTTTATGAAACAATCGAACTTTAAAACCCATATCATCACGTAGAATATTATCTGTAATAAACTTAAAACACATAATCAGGCATAAATAAGGTTACAATTCCATTAAAAAATCACCACACGCTATTAAAAGTATATCAGTGTCTGAGAAATGAACATGTTTCATACTAAAATAACGATAAGTTGGTTATTTGTTCTTTCACTTAGTTTTACTATCTAAACACAAATTAAACGGCTTCGATGATGACCAGTATAAACTAGATAATAACCAGAAGACATTGTTTTTAAATCCTGCTTTCAGTTTTCTTTGCTACCACAGATTCTGTATGGCAATCAGTTCTAAGAATTAGAATAGTGATTTTTTTCTCTTAATAAGCAGTTTTTCCAAACGTTCTTGACAGTTATAATTTAATGTAATAGACATAGAACACATGACGAAAATATTTAAACAACCTACTGCTTCATATGATCTTTATCTTCTTTCATTATAGTCCAGTCTACTGATTTAAGCGGATCATCTACAAGCGTACGTAGATATGCTTGAAAAGCTCCATAACTCTCATCCATGGCAAGCATACGGTCCAAATAGGAGAGTGCTCGACGTGTTGTTTCCCATGCAACATACTGATCTTCTTTTTTTAAATATTTTGTCAGATTTAAGTATACATTATATGAAACAGTGGCGCGACTTTAAGTGATTATAAGTGAAAATAGATAGATAGAAAAAGACTGAATTTATAATCATTATACACATTTAAAAGATATTCAAAATGCAATTTTGTGCTGAGTATACATTTGCAGAAGTCATACATACATCAGATAAATTTTTGACTAGTCACTTGTTAGTGAGGCATACTATGAAAAAAAGTTCTTTCGACCACTAACTAAACTTTTATTGATCATTCAGTTAAGTTCAGCTAGATTTCAGATAAGCTTGCCCTTTAACAACCAACTCAGTTCAGTTTAGCGAGGCTTTACGATGTAACAAATAGCGAAGTAAATATTGTACACATGTAAATTCTCCATATTAGTAGGGGAAATGCAACTACTAAGTTTGATTTGTCATGATTTTCACTGTATAAACAATGAATTCTGATTGAAAGTAGTTGATACATTTTCGGTAATGATTGTGTGGTTTTGTTCAATTTTTGTTTACTAGGAAAAAATAAAAGTTCACACCTTACATACACCTATGGACCTGGTTAGTTTGGTTTTTTTTTAATTATAAAAGTTTAATATAGTAATTATAAATAACCTTAGCTAAACAAAAACAATTTCAACGCTATTTAAAACGAAAGTTATTTTTTTTTACAGAGAAATTTCTGGAAATATAAATTCCGTATCTAAAAAGCAATAAAAAAAAACTAATCATGTTGCTGAATTAGATAGAAACATCAATCAGTTTTTTTAATTTTTTTCACCTAGTTGTTTTTCGATTTGAGCCGGGAATTTGTAAAAAAATCTTTTACAGAATAACAACAATGCAATAAACAGTAAATAAATTACAAGATAGTGATAAACAAATAAAGGAGAAAAATTATTTTTTATTTTCCCGGAACTCATTACATTTAAAACGTAAACTACCACTGGATATTATTAGTAAACGATATGCAAGTTGAGAGGAAATGCAACTGTTAAAATTTATCGAATTCGATCTTTTTTGCGTTAAAAAAACTTAACAATCTTCACAACCCCGTAATGCAATATTTACAAGTAAAAATTCCATTACTTGACAAATGGAAATCCTCATACTTTCTTGCCTACTAGGTTAGTGAATATCACACTGTGAAAAAGTTTTATCGGTTTTATATCAACTCACTAATCGGTTACTAAAAGGTCAACCATTATATCTACACTATGGACAATCGCACGTGAAGAAGACGGAGATCAGACGAAAAATGTCTATCATGTAAATAAAACAACACTCATTCTATCAAACCTCTTATTTTGAAGGCATTTCTTTTTTACTAAAGAAATATCACAAATGAGTGTGTCCCTTCGTTACTTCTATAGCATGAACCCTTATCTTGTTGTATTAATGTCAGTTTGTCAAGACAAAGTTATTGAAGACATTCACTTCGTGAAAAATTAATAATACTAGTATTATACATGATATCTTAACTTGATTGACCATACAATCTAACAATCATAATCTTATGTTTTCAACCTTCCATGCATAAATCCAATCCAATCATAACTTCAACGTGTATCTACTGAGGTCTTCGCCAAGATAATAAAATGTTTTATAGATTTATGGCTTCAACAGTTGTACACTAAGAAATTGATTATTTAATCATGCACATTTATTAAATCGTAATTTACATTGGATGCAAACCTGCGTAAAATAATAAATATAGATAAGAACACTTACTTTGCCAAATTGAATAAATCATCCAAAATTTGTGTTCGTGAATGTAGTGGAATAGCCTAGATATAAAAACAGTCAAACCAATTAATTTCTAACTTGGTTAATACTACAAACAGTTAAAAAAATGATTGTGGCTAAAACGTTTTTGGTTGACATTTTTTTAATAATTAAGATATTATTGTCCTATGAAACTGTGTAACAAAGTCGATTAACATATTCGCATGAGAAATATTTATTCAGCTAACTCCTTAACTATAAAGCGTAAATCAATGAATTTATTGTAGTAATTATACCAACTTGATCGGATAAAACCTATTAACTGATAATTCATAATCAAACATTAGTTTACGACAATATTTTGTAGGAATTTTTCTAATAATGCATACTTACACGATGATCTGTATATAACTGTTCGGTCAATAGTTCCCAATTATTGTCAGCATAATGAACACGATAAAAACCAGCTTGTTTAATATTGAATAAATACCAAGAATTTTCTGTTACATCCAATTTTTGAGTCATTGTTTCTGTTGAAATTAAAGTAAATATTTATGGAAATATTATGAAATTACTTGAATGAATAATGAATATTCATAAGTAAACATTATTGTTTATAAAGGTAAAGAGGTGAATGGATTTTCATTAGTGTACAAAAACACAAACAAAATTAGTAGTTTAACATGATCCTAACCGCAGAAATGTTGACGTTACCGTAAATACACCGAATTACAATTTGTTATCACTTAAAAACAACATGATCTGAACTTTAGTATTTTTATAACAGCCCACTATGCAGCATACGAGCATTAGTAACATTATTCTGGTCATTTTATAATCCAACAAAACTTTCAAAGATTCTATTATCTGTTTAAATATATTTTTTTGGACAAGACTTATTTTGTCATAAAGATTACTTGTTAAACTCTGTGAATAGATGCTACAAGTAACGTAACTTTTTCTCACCAGCAAAATCTTCGCCCACTATTCTTATACCTTACTACAGTAATAATATTGAAACTACTCGATATCATTAAATGAAACAATTATACTGAAAGTAGGTTGTGAGAGGTAAATGAACTCTAAAATACTGAACATATGTCCAATGCATGGTTCCATCATTTACTTGAGATCATTCAGTTTAGCTTTCATTAACGAACAAAATAAATCTGTGAGCTATTTGAGAGTGGAGAGCATCGAGTCAATGTTTTGTCCTTGGTCAGGACTTTTTAGCATTTAGACATCATGACATGATAGCAAATTGAGAACTTGAAAAGTATCTTTAGATTGTTGTAATGAAATCTATGAGATTATATTTTCACCCTCAATTAAACCACAATGCAGTACGCTCGCTCTTCAACTGAATAAATGAGAAGTCATTCATTCAAATGAATTTTAGAACCTCACTTTGAGATCCTGAGCTCCATTGCACTGAAGAGTAGATAATTGCTAACGAGTAATTTATACAATTGTGTTTGGTTTTTTGATAATGCTTCAACAGTTATTGTTTTGTTATCACAAAAATTTATTTGAAATTTGATTTTTGATAACCAATCTTCAATTTACATACGGTTATTATAACAGCTGTTTTATCAACTGTTTTGTGTAAAATTTAGGCCTTCTTTCAAATCATGAAATTGCTTTACTTTCGAAATAGAGATTTATACTTGAATTTCAACTTCTTGTTTGAAGTAAAGAAAATTTCATTGATTTTACTTGACGTAAAACCTTTTAACATAGCCGAAATTCTAACTGAAAGAGCTCAGTCACAGTATATAGGTTAGTAATATTATGTAGTTCTCACTGTAGACTGCTTTCAGTGCATGCTTCCTTCATGTTATTAAAACCAATCACACACCAACAACATAATTTTACTATGGTTGAATAAATGTTACAACGAACTAGTAAAATTATGATGCTGTGAAGACCTTGAGTTAATTGTAAATTTTAACATGAACCGGACTCCGGATATGAAAATCTTTTAATGCAAGAAATTATTCAACACGTTGGGTTGATCTATTCAGATCAAAGTTATCATGCTCCAAATAATGTATTGCTTTTCAATATTATTTGTTTCATAACTGGGCAGCGCCTACTGATTAGTCAGTAAATCACTCAAAGTCGTTAGTATTCGATACTTTTACTAGAGTATAATATTTTATACTGTTGAGTGATTTAGGCTAAACTTGGCTAATAACGGTTTATGATCTCAATGATGTTGATGTTGTTTGATCTTAATTTGACATTTACATATATTTTTCACGTGAACGTGCTCTTTTATTTAATTAGGATTCATATTAAAATCCTAAAAAAGTTCTTGATAATTTTTTGATCATCTGTTAACAATGCACAGTCGCATAGATTATTCTGCTAAGCCATATTTCTTCATTAGTGTGTTTTAAAGTATTACATTTATCAACTATTACTTGTAATAAAAAAATATAGAAGAAAAAACTAGAGACAAAACTATGACTTGCTATTCATCATCCAAATAACGTCTGCTTCATCCCAGTTGTTAGTCTTTGCTGATCCATAAGTCAGTGGAATTTTCCATGTGAAACTAAAATTAAAAGAATCAACTCATTTAGGTTGGGTTTTTTTTACATAAATGTTAATTTTCTTTCATCATTACTGTTAAACAAAGAGATGATAAGATATTGTAGTGACTAAGAAGTGTTTACTTTAAAGTTTACTCAGCCAACTTCATGAAGTTAAGTGAAATCAAGTCAAGGAAGTTATGTAAACGATGTAAGACCTTCACGGCATTTATTAAATGGATGAAATAAAATTAGTTTACAACACAACCAAATGAAATTTCATTTATTTCGATAGGTAACACGCACTATTTTTGGTTTATGGAAGCATTTGGTCATAGCTCTGTGCATGTGAATGTATTCAATAATTTTACGGAAATGAAATGTAAACAAATTAATCCAGTTGTTTGTGCTACTCAAAAAGTGACACTGTTCATTGCTGCAATAAAATCACATATGATTCTAATTAAATTTGGTTATTATGTTATTGAAGGATCCCCTGTACACTTGAGACGTTTAAGATAACTCATCAAAACCATCAACTTACTTAATCTATTTTAGAGTTATTAGATATCTATAAATATTTGAAATTTACCACTCTTTGATCAGTTGCACAGTATGAGGTTTCTGTGGATATGCATATATTTCTCAATGATTACAAATTGGGCTATATATATTTTTACATGCTCGATATCTCCAAGTTTCTTATTCTTGCTCGTCAAATGATGATTCAATTCACTTTTATTTTATTCAATTATATTTAACTGCCTGTTCTACTTTAATGCTTACTTGCTAAATTTCTACATCTATCAAACAGTGATAACTTCCTATGATGAATTGTGAATAAACTATGATAAATTGGTTAAACATTCATTTCAAATGAATGAATACTGTCCATAAGGTGATTGTTTGTTTATCGAAAAATTCTTTATCATGATTTATACACTGGTGGATAGTTCAAATTTAGTTATCGTTGACTTCTGTTTCGCCTTACAAACATAAATAGCCTTCAGTTAGTAAAAACAAACAGTGAGTCGACTACATACAGGCAGTTATTTTACTTACTTGTATGGTGAAGGATTTTTAGGCGATTTCGCATCCTGTGGTTCTAAGTAATGCTTTTGTGTGAATTGAAATTCTCCATCGAGATTGCGTTGAATTATCACTAGTGGATAATTCATTTGTTTCATCCAGGTATCCATGACATCTTTAACATTGACATCTTTACCTACAAGTTTGGCTGCCTGAAATGGTAATTAAATATTTCTGTAATATGACAGTACTAGGATATTTTACGATTACAATAATACAATCGAGAAACTTTGAAATTAAGTGGAAAATAAGAGATTTTTTCTCATCAAGCATCGAATTTAATTTAGTTTTAGTAATAATTAGATAAAGCTAAGCAATGGATATGGTCATAACTTATAAATCAGTGGTGTTTTGTAGTCCTGTGTTTGAGATAAAGAAGATTTAGTAGCCTAAGTGAATACTTTTGATGATATAGCGTTGTCTGAACCAGATAATTTAAATGTAAATTTTTGTTATCTTAACATGTCTATAATATATCGGCAATTAAACTGTCCAGCTCAAAAAACACAATATCATCAAAATACGTTTTATTGAATAATGATATTCATCAATATTTGAACGAAAAATTCAATAAAAATTGTAAAAAGTATATGTGAAGTTATTTTCGGCGATTCAAATTCAAATAACCTCGATGTTTCATCCAGTAAACTCATTTGAAACTGTTTAGTCGAATAACTGACATCAAAACTATCACAGAATATATATTATTGAGCAATCAAATCTAGACCAAAAAATAAACTTAAGAAATTAAATTGCTTCCTTTGATAATTTAAGCAATAGACTGACGATTCTTTTGTTTCATTTACAGATAATTGTTGGAGATCATTAATTATCAGAAACAATGAAGTAGCTGGTTTAACCGCATTAGGACGGTGCATGAGGTGCTTTTTGATTTCATTACCCAGGCAATCGATCCTCACTGTTCATTCAAATGATTAGCATTTTCTAAATACATTCAGTTTTAAACACGATTTCATTATCGTTTATAATAATCATTGGTTAACACTTTTATTCTCTACAAGGTTTTATTTCGGAAGGCCTAGAAGCTTATTTTTAAAATTATATTATGTTTTAAATGAATCACACTTCCCAGCATTATCCATTTTCACTGACCTGAAGTGTGAATTTCGCGATATTGTCAACTTCTCTCTTGGTTATTAAACTCTTACATATGATCAGATGAAAATTTAATTATCATTGCTGAATGATTAGTACCATTAATCGTGCAAATAAATAATAAGTGGGAATTATAATTATCACAAATCTAATTAACAAGGTGAAGGTGTAAGCCAAAATAGAAATCCGTCAGTTAATTTTATTATCACATCTAATCTAATTTCCTAAAAGCAGTCATTTTGAAGAATGGATATCTTTTGAACTTGCATAAAAATGATTACGCCTAAAAAAAACCTACTACATTTTATTATTCTTTAACATAATATAGAGAAACTAATGTGCAACTTCATATCAAAAACTTGCCAAGTTATGTTGAATTCTTCAATACCCTTTATGGATATATTCGTTTCCAAAGTAACTCAACATGAGTAATCCAATAAGATCATGAAATAATTAGTCAAATAATTAATTTCAATGAAAACATCTATTATGAATCAAATTCAAGACATACCTCAGTGAGCGCTCTCCACAAATCTTCATGAACCGTATTTTTATATTTGTTTTGATAAAGATAATTCTTTAACAGAAAGAAAATTATAAAAATGAACATTATAAAAATATCTATACATACTCATGTAGCTACAGAAATTTCACCCGATTATCTCATGTTTCATATGTAAACATAGGGCCAACACAGTAAGTCTTAATCCCTTTCTATCCCATAATTCCATACAACTTATACACTAGAAATAGAATGGTAATTCACAAGGAATCAAATTTCTTATGAGAAATATTGTTGACATATATCTTTAAAACCAGTAACTAGATATGTGTAATCCATTCTCTAACAAGTTAAAAATTGTATTGGTAATATTCAACCTTCCAATTACTACTCAAATATATCTTGAACGATAGGAATTAAAATGAAATGTATTTCAATTGGTGAATATATGCTGAAAAATGTTCATTCACTATCAATGCCTTTCGTTTAATTCAACAGTAATGATAGGAGGAGAACTGAAGTATTATAATTATTAGGATATTATTTGTAGTTTAGAAGTTATCAACGATGTAACAAAAAAGTATTTAACTAGTCCTTCTCAAATCTCTACAACGAATGTATTACTGCGTATTTAAATACTGTCACTAAAATTTTACCTAGTGCCACAATAAAATGAACTTTAAGAGGAAAACTAAACTAGGATTATTAATTAACTTCAACATACCTTCACACCTGCTCGAAATGCGTTTCTACCCATAAATGACTCCATCATTCTCAAAACAGAAGCACCCTGTAAAACAGTGTACACATGAAGTCGAATTATTAATTATAAACAGTATTCAAATAAGCAGAGAGTTTGCAGTTTTTAGACAGTTTGATAAAGTTATACCACGAAAAACAGTTTTGCTAAAAGTTGTGTATTTAGAAACGGTCCTTTTACGATATCATTTGAAAAGGAAAAAATCAGTGTTGTAAATTAAATATTCCATTTTCTGCAAGTAATTAAATACCATACTTTAACATCTATATACTTCAAAAACAAATTCATTGGAAGCATTTTCGTTTTCACCTTTTCATAATCCTTAAAGGTAACATAATGACTGATCACTGATTCTCAATAAGACCACTAGTCTAAAGGAACTCAACACTGAATACAGTATATTTAGATGCCACTAATGAACGTAATCACTACCTGTAAAACAAGATTCCCTGTGAGTTATTATTAATAAACCAGGTGTCAGTGAAACTCACTGATGAAGATATGAATCTCAATCAAGGCATGATTTTTATTAACACACTGTGGATACATTATATCAACGAATCTCAACTAGCATATTATCTAGATATAGGGCTTTTAGTTGGTTCCTTTCTCCACCTTTCTGATTATCAAGTTAATGATTACTGCTTCAACCCTTTAATTAAATGTATGAATACTTTGATTACACTAAGCGTTTTATTAATTCACGAAAATCTACATGTTGTAAACAATCTGAAACATTGATCATTGTAAGTAGAACAAGATTATCATTCACAGTTTGAAGAATAAAATAAATTCACCTCATTGAAAGGTTCTCATTAACTGAAAACAATTCATAATGTCACGATAAACAAAGTTTTACATAACTTAGTAAATTCAACTGAAATGGATGCTTGGAAACGAATCAAAAATCATGATAAGTGGAAAAAAGGCATAAGATATAATATTAAATAAGTTCTATAGTGATACGCATTGATATATTCAAAAAAAAACATGTTTCCTAAGAATTGTGATAAAATGTTTCAAGTACTCAGAGATTTCTTGTACCTCTGCAGTATCAATAAATGAAATATTACTAAATGCTCAGAAATAACTTTGTTATTGCAGAATCTCCAATGTTTCAATACATCCATCATTCAGTTGATAAAATTACCCATGTATTGAAAAGTTTAATATAAGCATTTAGTAAATTCGTTGAAATGAACATTGCTACAACGAAGAACTTCAAATCACTACAATAAACGCAGTAAGTTTTTGTCTAAATAGACAATATAACACCTAATAGTTTAATCTGTGAATACTAATGATTGTATGGATATCCCTGGATTGTATTTTTGAATCTGATTTTTTACTGAGAATATTGAATCACTTGCCTTGTTATAAGAGATTGGATCGAAAATTTCATTAATTTCATTTGGATAATAAACGGGTTGTATGACTGGCCGGGAAGTAACTAACGAATCACTAATCAATACTTTCTGTATATCGTCCAGAAGAAATTGTTCATCCTATATGTTGAAAACAAAGTAGATTACAATTATCGATCGAACATGTTATTGAATCAACTGAAAGATATTTATTTAGGTAAATTTCCTTTATTTACATTACGTTTTTTGATTATTCTAACTAATTAAACATCAGAAATTTTCATCATTAGTATGTATTTGTTAGTTTTCGTGTAATTTAGACCTATCAATTAGTATTCATTTAATGAATAATGAAATTAGGGAAAACTCGACTAATTTGTATTATTCAAGAAAACATAATTCACTTGGGATTGTCTTCATAGGTTTTTGTTTTACTTATTATAAATTTTAATTAATAGATAGCTTTTGGCTGAAATTATTTAGTAATTCCTTACTTTTCAGTGTCGTAGGTATAGATGATTTTAGTTTTAGATTACTGTGGACAGCAGAAAAAGTAGCATTTTACCAACTTAATATTATCAAAGTTTCAAACTGCAGAGTTGAAAACGATTTGATATATTCAGTATGACGTTTCACCGCCTTATTCGGCGTACTGATGAAAATGTTGAACAATCACTTCTTTTCTATCTACAAAATTTAAAAACTGATATCTCAACAAGCAAACAGCTACGAATTTCAGGTGCATGAGAGTTAATATGCAAATGCGGATACTAGGAAACAAAATTAAATGGAAGAGAAAAATAGTTTGTTAACAAATACTACATTTTTGAAGATAACGGCTGTGGATCGAACAGAATGTAACATTTGTTTTTTCCAGTCTTATATCAACCATGTGCCTTGATATTTTCTACGTTCGATTACTTAATTGACTAATATAATATGATTCAAATCTTCATTATGAAACTAAAAACTCAAAAACTGAAGTTAGTATTTTAGGATAATATTTATTTGAAGACAGTCCTATATGAAGCCTTACCCTTATGTGTTGTGTTGGATGTCATCAGTCAAAAATAGTTGTCTGGAATATAGAACACTCTGTGATGTTACTTCAGATCCTATAGGCATCACCAGTGCTCTTCTGATTGTAGAAGCCCCTTGCTATCATATGGCTCAAAATCTGGAATTTGCAGTTTCTCAGTGTTGTCTCTAATATCAGTTATAGTGTTGACGATATCAGATTATCTAAACTAATGACCACAGTTGAACAATATGTATAATATTTAAAAGATACTAAAAACCAGACGAATATGAAATCGGTCACTAATCAGTAGTCAACCTGTTTCACATGAATACAACATACCATTCCCCACTCCGGATGAACATGATCCACTCCAATATACTCGGCGAAACTTGCGAAACCTTCATTCAACCATAGGTCGTCCCACCAATTCAAAGTAACCAGATTTCCAAACCACTAAAAATTTAAATGAAAAAATATATTTGTATACCATAGTTTGACAGCTGTTCTGAAATATATAATTAATTATTTTCTAAATACGAATTCTTTAGATTTCACTATTCTCTACTTAAATACAACGTTATTCCAGTTTAAGTATTGGGCTTGTTTGTCTTCAGTGATTAGGACAACTTTGAGTCTTCTTCTTTGAGGAATTTAACTGGGGTAAAACGTTCTCTAGACAAAGGTCAATTCACAAGAAGTGAGTGTTATTAACACAAACTATTTAATCAGTGTACTCGTCAGCTAGGTAGACAGTAAAAGAAATATTTTATTTTAGAAGTAAAAAGAAGCATATATTTACTAAAAATAGTACTCAACTTATATAACATAACAGACGGTCATTTCCTAAACACCATTAAGCTTCTTTCAATAGTAATTATATAATTAAGTGATACTAGTTTTAAAGTTACTTATTCCAATGATTTACTCAAATCGCTGTTTAATAATAAGATATTATTACCTGATGAGCTACTTCATGAGAAATGACCGTTGCTACTTTTTGTTGAGTAGCTGCTGTACCGAATTCCGGATCCCATAACATTGTCGCTTCTCGATATATCATAAGACCCCAATTCTCCATTGCACCGGCAGCGAAATCAGGCACCGCTACCATGTCTAATATTTAAAAATGAAAAAGATGAGTTTGAAAGTAAGATGCATGTGAACATTTATTACATGAAAAATATACTGTTTTTTTCTTATGTTCTTATAAAAGCATTTATACATTTGAAATAGTTCATTATTTTTTTCCCATACTTCTCAAAAATCATCATGATGATGATAAATTAGAAGTCTCATCAGGTTAAAGTCATAATATTAACATGTAAAAGTTATCTGATTAGAATTAGTGAGTCGCTTCAAAAACATATACTGGAGTTATCTGTTTCAGAGAAGCTGAATTAACACCTCCTATGATTGCATGCATACGAACGAAGGTTTTATTTATAGGTTGATGAATCAATACATAAAATCCCAGTCAATGAAGTTTATTATAGGTGTGAGATTAAAAACAATGAGTTTAGACTGAACGACCTGAATTTAAAACTTCCCCTGAAACAATGCCAGGATTACCGCCGGTTCTCAGAGCTCAGACCACTTCGTTCCGTTGAAATAATTCTTACTAAAATAAAACTAGCCATAAAAAAACAATCATTTAAACCATATACACTGTAAGTTAAATCATTTTAATCGATAAAATGGACCAAAAAATTTTTTTGATATACAAAACCAGTACATTTTTGAGAACATTTTGATTTATTCTGTAATAATATGTAAGTTAGTTTCAGAAAGTGATTATCCTCCTGTGAGCGTATTCAAAAGAGTATACCAAACTTACTGCAAATAATGAATATTAGATTAGGCAAATAATCAGCTAGTGCTTTATTGCCTCCTTGATAATAATATCACAATCATGTATAATAAAACTATAACTGAAATCAATCTGATGCATAATTAGTGTTTTTAATTATGCCTGATCGATTTTATTTCGGAATTACGCAACACTAACCTGTTTTTTTAAGTGGATAAGAAAGTTCAAAGTATTCTTCGAAAAATCCAATTATTTTCTTCCCTGTTTCTAGAGCATACTTGGCTGAATGAATTTTATCTGATCTTGTCCATACAGTAAACTGGATTGTTCATATTTTTAAAAAATAAATAAGACAAACGAAAAAAAATTGAAAATATAATATTTATTCAATTAATACTAATAAGAAATAATTATTTATTTATTTTATGTATAAAATATAATATAGTATATTTATATATATATATATAATATAATATTTCGTTATTTACTACGATTTGTATAATTACTTGTACTTTAATAAAAAGACATTTTTTGAAATTTATCTATACTAAATATTAATTATTAAATTAAAGATGGCTTATCGTCCTACGTATTCTCGAGAAGCTTAAATGGAAGGCTACAGCTAGGTTTAAGTATGAAGAAAATTCACTTACTTTACATCATAGTTTTATAAATAAAGAGAAGAGACTAGTTACCTATTACCATCGTTAATCTGTTACAAGCAAATCACACACTTGCCACTTTGCTTAGATTGATTTTCTATGCTCCAAATTACGTAATTCGTAATAATTTTCTAAATCCTTCCACTTAATTTGTTTCATACATTTTATAACGATCAAAAATATCTATCTCATGAAATACAATTTCCTTACTGACTTTACTGAAACCCTGGTTTTATTGGTTTTTCGATTTGTTTTCCAAATACGAAATTCTTGTAGACCACCAGTAGTCTTATTTTCTTTGATAACTTAGCACAAAAATCCTGATCGTAACCTTACCATTATTAAGTGTCATTCACATTTCCAAAATAAATTGAATCTTCAGAATTGCACGTTGATACGTGCTAAATATTTTTTATATGTCAGTTTACTTGTAATTCTGGACAATGAACTATATAACTAACAAAGTTGAATCATTCTTTCCTTTAGGATTAAAAAGTTACACTGATTAACAGAATCAGTGCAATGAAAAATAGGAATACACTTTAAATCATGTTGACTGTTAAATTTTAATATTTCCCACAACCAATTATAGTGTTAATATCACTTGTTATGATTCGCAATACATATTTTTGCAAACAAGATTATCAATACAAACCAGTTTTTTTTAGCTGAAAAACATTTATCAGGACAATCAACTCAGACTATAAATGGTGAATAGTAGATGCACATCGTTTGATTGGGAACTGAATTCTTATTTCTAAAAACATATCACATATTTTTGAAATAAACAAATATATAGTCCTGCTTATTATTGTCACCAATGTATGAGAATACATGAGGAAATGAATAATAATTGCAAAACTTTGTTCAACACATAATTTTATGGTTTTCAATTAGTAGGACTGATTTTATAACACTCCAATGTCACAGTTTATAAGTACTGGATTTGATAATACAAAATACATTGAGACTGTCATCATGAATTCTGAATGAAATTATTTGCGATTGACAATATCCTTGAAGTACCATCTGTATCAGTTGATCATTCACATTAGTTTAGTAGAAAAAGATCTTTCAACATTTCTTCACTTAAAAAAATGGTAGTCACTGGACATAGACTAACATAACATTGGTTAAGTATACTGGGATTAACGTAGAATTTTGGAATATATGTAAAAAACATACTTGATGATAATGAATTATCTTCATACAACAAATGAGCTAGAAACAATATAAAATTGCCTATTGTATGGCTAATCATTTTTAGCCTTAAAACCATAGACTTACATATATATGTTAGTTTATTTATTCTAGGTCATTACCATTCTTCCTATATTGTTGTAATGCATTACATGAAGGTCAAAAAAGAAAATGTTATTATTTATTAATAAATCAAATTATTCAATGTTCATTTGACTTCAACGTACATTTCTTCCCTTAGAATCAATGCCACGAATTGACGCGAACTGGGAAACTACAAATGCCAACAAGTATGTTGACATATTGACACTTGGTTCATATTTATCAAGATACCAATTATCATACAATGCTTCAGTACTTTCTAAAGCCATATTTGAAAGGGAATGATAATCTTTTTGACGTATTAAACTGACCTGAATAAATCAAAACGTGATAAATAGAAAAAAAACTAAAATTATTAACTGCTGAAATAATCTGCATTGTTTTTTTTTATCTGTAAAACAAACTGATTGTTAGAAAATATAGAAATAATACCTCCAATAAGCATTAGGTTTAGTTACAGGTTGTATAAATTATAAATGCTTAACTGAAATAAATAACAGAATTTATCAAACTCTGCAATCTTTTTTGAAAACGACAAACATATGAATTAAAGTACCATTCAATCTTATGAAGATATGATATTGCTTGAGCTGAAAGTGGAACTAATTAGATATGCTGATTAACAGTTGCGATTATATTTGCTTGAGATTTAAAATCCCCCAATACGCTGTCAGGAAGAAACTGCACATATTGACTTAGGGTGGTTTTCATTCAGTCGACGTTTTCATTTCACTGACTTATTATTAGGCATAGATCGGAAATTGTGCTGATTCATTGGGCATGAAATTACCTATTCACTCTTAAACACATACGCTTCGTATTGATTAGTTCACTTTAGTTTTACTTTTTAGGGATTATCAGTTGATGAAGAATTATCTGTAGCCCACAATGAAAGAAATAATTTCGTTCATAGTATTGAAGCTAGAATGGAAAATAATTAGCGACATAAAAATCAGATTTTTGTGAATTCAATGAAATGGTATTTTAAAAGTTCTATAAACTGTCATGGCAGAATTTTTTGAGAGACTATTTAATTTCAGTTAGAGCTTTGGAGATTTGTGTTCTTTTTTTACACATTTGAACTCGTTAATCAATCATAGTGAGACCACCATTAGAAACCTGGAAGCAATGGACGGCCGCGCTCACTAGTAACTAGCTTCGTGAGAAAATTCTTGGAGTTCTAGTGAGAAGACGTGACCAATGGAGTTTGACCCTGTCGAGTGTAGGCAGTAACTATCAAAGACAAATGGGTGAGGTCGCGCAAAATCTCTAGATCAATCAGAGTTAGACATTAACACCGTTGGATGCCGGCCCAGTGGTCCTATGATTAGGCGTTCGCGCACAATACCGAAGGTCTCAGGTTCGAATAATGTAAGGTGGAGGAGTCGTGGATGCGCACTGCTAATGAGTCCTATACCAGGACGAAACAGCTGTTCAGTGCTTACAGGTCTCTAATGGTGTCCTGACAATGATTGATTGATGAGTTCAAATGTGCTAAAAAAAGACTATTTATTGTTACTTAAAACTGTTTACTAGCTAATTACTTCTCGTTCAAATTTTCTTTAATTTTTCTGTGACTTTTGTTAACTCACCCTACAAAAAACTATTAGCTATTTAATTAGATTTTTTATGACGAAAACTAATAAATATTTAGAAAAAATGAAAACAAAATCATTTCAACAATGTGCTGAAACAGATCAACTAGTTCTAATTGTTTTCTTTTCATTTCCTAATTCAATGTCTAATGAATTAATTTGAGCACGATTTAAATTGAACTTTCGTCTTTCTTGGTAGTTTACATTCATTGAAATTTAGAAACAAAACGTCATCAATGATTATATCAATACTCAAATCAACTTACATGAAAGATCCTAAAAAGAAACATTAAATCTTACTTTAAATCATAAAGTTATCAAACAACTTTGATGTTAATGAATTGTAATCTGATGTGTGTGATTTATGAATAAGGCTAACAAACAATTTGATTTAATTATGTTTGGATAAATTAGAAAAAATAGGAAAACATATAACCTGAAATATCAACCTTCTTGAATTGTGTTTTGATTGAGTAAATCATATCATTATTACTATTATTATTTTACAAACCTTACTTCTATTATTACAAGTTCATACTCTACTAGGAAGTAAAACTAAGAACTTCAAAAGCGTCAAACTAGTTTACTATCTAAGTCAGTGAAGTAATATGAAGTAGTCTCTTCACGACAGAACATTTTGATTTATATATTCTTGATATCTAGAATTTGGTCAGTGTTTTATATCATCAGTCATTCTGTTTACGAACATATTATTTATTATTGTATGATAGTATTATGGTTGATATAGTTTTGATTTTTGAACAGTTCAAGTGTAAATAAACATGACTGAAATGAGGGCGTACTGGATGTTAAGAAATTTCACACCTGAAATTGTGCTTTAAATCCAGGTTCATCCCAGCAAGGAAATACACGTCTGGCATCAGTTGGTTGAAGTTGACTTGTCGCAAGATATCTAAAACACAATAAGCCGAAATAGAAATCAAATTTTTTGATTTATATAAATATATATATTTATATCAGATAAACAAGAGAGGATTCACATTTCTTCAGACTAACATGATTCCTATGGCTTCTGCTATATGTAGGAGACGGGATCGAATTCCATTGGGAAATAATAGATCATGCGAAATGATCTATCGAAAACGATGACCGGATATAAGTTTATAAGTAATTTTATCTTTATTATTTTTTGTTATTATTATTTTCACATTCTGTATTTCTTCTTTATGCTTATATTCTCTATTATCCAATCATTTTACTCTCTTCTTACTATACAATTCTAAAAGAGCTTTATGATTACTATTTTAGGTCTGTCAATACAAGTTTAACCCACTACTTCCAATATTGAAATATTGGCAAAAACGTTTGTTAGATTTTATTATCCTTACCACTAAAAGTACATCTATCTTGCTACAGTCGTCTTCTACTTTTACCTCTTATGTTTAGTTACGTAATCTATTTCATTACGATCAGTGACATCATGAATTCATGATTTCAAATAAAAAAATACCGATCTCCATATTTATATAATGAATACCATAGAATGTGCTCACTAGTGACTAGCTTCGTGAGGAAATTCTCAGAGTTATGGTGAGAAGCCGTGACCAATGGAGCTCAACCCTGTCGCGTGCAGGCAGTGACTACCATAGACAGTGGGTGAGGTTGAGAAATACCTTAGCTTGATCAGAGTTGGACATTTGCACCGTCGGATGCCGGTTGAGTGGTTCAGAAGATAGGCATTGGCGCGCAAGACCGGACGTCCTGGATTCGAATCCTGTATATAACAGGAGTCGTGGATGCGCAATCCTGATATGTCCCATTCTAGGACTAAACAGGCCTACAGTGAGCCCATGTTTCTAATACTGATTGATCCGATTTAAAATGAAAAACAACATTCGCCACATTTGTTCAAGAAAAACTCCGAAAGTTGCCTTGATTGAAATATATCAATATCAATAATATCAATAATCATGTTTATTAAAGTAAAGCCTGATAACGATCTAACTGAAAACAATATTGTTCGTTTATACTTTTTGTTTTAATATTTTCAAAGTGAGTTGTTAATCTTTGTTCATAAGATTCTACAATACAAAGTTATACATAACAAATTAAGTTTGAACCAATTGCAAGCATGGATTTATGACATTTTACTGATAATATAAGAGTAAATGATTACAAAATTTTTACGATACATTCACTTTTGCTTAGAAACAGCAATGAAGCATTATGTATGTCTGTAATCTTTTACAAGATGAATACTGATTCTTAATGTTTGTTATTAGTATTACCAATTGTAGGCTATATTTCTAAGCAAGTTTTCATTGTGGACCATACACCAACCAACACACTGATCGTCAACACTGTAATAATATGTAATTCTTTTTATTTAATACAAAGTCATATCATCACTGATATCGGAATCACGAACTTCTAAAAATGAAACCAAATAATCTCGTAGTATTAAAATTTATTATAATAAAATGCTATGGATTACTAAATGTGAGTAAATGCGATAAACAGTTGTATTACATGTTGTCTAATTATGTCATTTACTAATGTGTACAGAAACAACCATAGAGATACAAAGGAAATATTGAGAGTTTAAACAGTCATTTACCTAGAAAGATGAAATGTAAACAGTAATGCAACTATCGTTTTTACAATGATAACACTTAGGATGCAGCTAGACGATTTAGATTTCTCAGATGATTTAGCTAATCTATGTCCATGATATTTTTCTATGTTATTTCACGTGTTATGTCAATAACCAGATTTTCATGAACTGCTGTTAAACAGACGAAACCCATTACAACTATGCTATAACAATATTTGAAGAAATAAAAAGTGTGTATACCTTTTTGGATGGGAATTTTTCTGGTTAGTGTTTCCTTTGAACTCAAAAGAAATATCTATTAACAACAAAGTCACAATTTACAATACTAACGTCAACACAGTTGTTCTATTTTATGGAGCCGAAATTTGGAGAACTACAAAAGCTATTCTCAGATATATACAGGTGCTTATTAACAATTGTCTACAAAAGATACTACTCACCTGTTGGAGGGAGACACCACCAACAGTAATTCACTGTGGGAAAGAACAAACCAGCTTTCATGTGACGAGTAAATTAGGAAAGAAGCTCTGAAAGTAGACACAGCATATGTTGCCAAAATCACTGAATGCTATCGCAAGGAAAGCCCTTATTAGACAGAAATCCTCACTGCCAAAAAGGAGGTAAACCAAGGAACACATAGCGCCGAGAACTCAAAAGAACATTTTATACTACCAGCACTTTATAGTACTACTGCGCAATCAGGGTGAAAATAATGGGTTTGCAACGGGCATTTATTTAAAAGAATCTATCAAAACCAGTCTACATGATAATCAATGTTTCTTGCTTTTAAAAACTAATTAGTTGAAAGTAACCTGTTATTACTTCTGTTTTAGACTTACTTATACGTTCCATTTTCCATATACTTGCTCAAATACCAACCTTTCAGTTCATCGTTCAAAGCTGAACGGAATTGTCCAAAAGTTAATTTGTAGTACGTAAAGGGTTGAAGTGAATTTCTCAGCTCAATTCGATACCATTCCAAGTCTTCTTCATAAGATATATTTTTAAGATCAATGTGACCATGATGTGAGTCACCTTCACCATTCATAATAGATATCTGAAAAAAGATAGAATGGTAACCTTTTTTGAAAGAAACATTTACATATGATAAATATTAACATGAGGTACTAGAAAACCGTTTCATTTAAATACATATGACGAATCATCATGTGTGTCTTTGTAGCTTGTCAGTTTTTGCTTAGTTGCTTCCGGATTACGATTTTATAATTTGTTTCTTCAGATTTCAAATATCTACGCAAAAGGATTGCATTGCATTATTTGATGAATGTAAACATTTCAAATAATTAATCAGTGCCAATTTTCTTGTTCTGATAAGTTTTTAAAATCATTTATGTATATTCTATGCAAAGAATGTCAGAAATCAAAACCATTCAAATCAGTGGAAAAAAGCTTTTTGAGCTCATTTATATTTCCATGAAATATGAAACAGTCTACTAACAATCAGTGGGGTCCAAAAATTACAGTCAGTTTGTTTACGCATTTATAGTAATGAACGACATTTTTTGAGATAGAATAATGTGGTTATAGAATATGACATGTTATTCTTTAGGAGTACTCTGAGTTTATAAGTAAGTGAAAGTTTTTTTGCCAGTAGAATGTGTAATAAAAATCTTTTTTGTTCAAAGAATCGGTTGACAAAGCATTCATTTTCATTAAACACTAGTATTCTGATACTCACTTACGAGTAGACAAATTACATTTTACTATGACAAACATCTATGTCGATGTTGTGAAATAATCGGACTATTTGACAATAATTAAATGCCAGCTCGAATGGAGACATGTTAGAAAGATTCGTAGATTACTGACAATAAAACAACTAGTTAAAGGGAATATATTCATCATTTTCATCAGGTGAAATACTGTTTTTGTTCACTGGCAGCTAGTAAACAGAAGCACATAAAAAAAAGAATAAGCTGTAATTCAATACAACAGAATTCATTTCAGCTCAGTATTCAGTTTCATCCTCATTTGCATAACCATATGGGATTGATATATACAATTTTTTTCCCCGAAACTAAATAATTAAGACATTGTGATAAAAGATTAAGAAAATTCCCTAAATTCATTAATAAACATTGGCGACATCCAAGTCTTGATTCGGACATAAATGTTGAACAATAACTGATTTTCATACAAATACGAAAATGTACAAATATATATGTATATAACTTTTCTTTACTTATTTCGCCTTATTACATACATCTTAAAAAATTAAGTTAAGACAAAAGAAAAAACCCTAATGAAACAGATGTTCAAATATAATCAAATAATCAAGGCTTTTTTTTCTTTGTAAATCAATATAGTTAGAAGCTTTTCTGTATAAGCAAATAAATCAAAAATCATATTGATATTTTTGAAAAGAATTCAATGTTTCACTCTTTTCGTCATATAAAGACTTCGCATTAAAGATTGGTTACATCTTTAGTTTACAGTTTCTTTCACACAAAAAAAGCTATCTTATTTTCAAACTGAGCGCCACAACATTTTGTAGTTTCAACTACATTAAACAAAACCAGATAGAGGTTTCTTTTGAATGTTTGTGAAACATTTACTGAATAACGCAATACATCAAAATGATGAATACAGGATTAAATAGGAGAAGAAGAAGAGTAATAAAGAAACTTCAAACTAATGAATTAGCAATTAAGTATTGCATTCTTTTTGTGTGATAGCAAAAAGTTTCAGCTAAAAGCTGAAAGCATTCGTCGATTTTCTTGCTTTTTTTATGAAGTTATTACACACGGAGGATTGCGTCGGTTTATCAATAATTTGAACTGTATTCAACATTCAATGAACCTTGATTTTCAATAGTACAGCTGTCATACTAATTTCGATTCATTGAGTTGATTTGATTTCGTCTACAGTCTAAATGTTTCATTCCTGAGGTTTAGTCAGTAGTATGACAATTTTATAAAAAAATTAATTCACTTCAATCAATTTACATTGTAATTAATAATGAATTTTTACGAAATTAGGATGCCAGATTTATTATGGAATTCTTTTTTTGAACTAAAATATACAAAAATATATTATTGAAAATTCTCTATAAATTAATAATCAAATATCTTACTTACGCTGACTTTATCTAAACTAACATTTAAACGACTATGAGCATGTACAAAGAATATTTTGGTAGATATTGAGCAATAAATTTTGATAGTGACAGATCCATTAAAAAAGAATGTTTCCGGTTTGCCTTGATGTAAATGAACTTGAAGTTTTAAATCATAGAAATTTGGAATAACTGAATATGGCAATCGTACATCTTTCATTGATCTATTCGATAATGATTCAAGTGCTCTTTGTAGTAGGTCATCTTTGGCATTTTCTAAATAAATAAAAAAATAAATTCAACAAAAAAAATTATAATTAATTTTTCTGCCTTTGTTATCGTTGTAAGTGGTTTTGCTTAATGTATTCAAACTTGACAAGTAGAACACCAAAGCATGATGTAAAGTTTGCTATTATTGAATTTTAAATAAGCCTTTTTTTGACTGCCTACCTTTTCACTATCATTTTAAAGGTTTTTTTTTGGAAAGTTTGAATGGAAAAAAGTGAAGCTTGTTATTGTTTGAAGATTTAACAGCTTGATAACTTTCAAATTCAATGGGCCTTTTGAATTCGTTATCGAAGAACAATTCTCCTGTTAATTTTCAGAAACTATTTAAAAGTCAAATCAGTAGTATAGATAGATTTTAAAGGCAGTCTGCCCTTAATGGCAGTATCTTTCAAGTCAAGTTAAGTTTAATTGGTTTGAATGGTTTTTCCCGATTTCCTCTAATCTTTTTTTTAAGATTTTTTCCCACTTGTGTAAGGAGACTAGGTACAAACGTCGTAGCTACATAAAGAAAAGCGTGTCTTACAAGTTGATGATCATTAAAATACTATAACCATTAAACATGGCTTATAAATTTGTAAATGCAAGGTCTATAAAACTGTCTTTTTGATCGCTGACTCACTGTTATAAAAGTATAACAATAACGAATTCGAGATAAACCATTTTCCTAGTCATCAGTTCTCTAATTAATTAATGAATAGGTTTTTTTTAATTTATGATCTTTCTATGCCAAAATATGGATTTATCTTTAGTCTTCATCCATGTATTGGTATTTAAATATTTCCAGTATTCATTTCCATGTTTTAAATGCTTTAGTGTGACATTTTGATTCGAAGAAATAATCCGGCAATTTCTCCAAAGCTAGTTAGATTAAATTACGGAAATTATCTTGTATGGCGTCTTCATATGCCAATATCGATCAGTGAGTCTTAAATGTAATAAATTGTGCTTTTATTTCAATAATGAAATCTATTCTACGTGAAACGTCATTAGGATGAGAATTTTAATACTGAACTGTAATTTATTATTTTGATGTCGCATTATATGGGCAAAAAATATACTCTATTTAATGAAAGACGTAAAATGAACTATCTATGAACTATCGTCAAAGTTTGATAGAAAAATATATCAAGATAACTCAGTTGGTGTAGTATCGGTTGAAGTAAGTCAGTAGCATTTTGTTAAACTGTAATTAAAGAATTTAAGTAACAATAACCAATGCCAAATGAGGAATAAGTTAAACTAAACAGATTTTATGGAAAATAAAATAACAAGTTGATTCATAATAAGTGCTAAGACATATGTGATTCAGTTATTCAAATTTCACTTTCACAAATCTTATTGAACATTCTAGATTAAACTGTGGGACAGAAGTAGTGATAGAGACATTTTCTAGGCTATGGTTAACAATTTCTAACGGAACAGAGATATAATTTTAATCGTGTAAAGACATATTGCGGGGGAAATAAACGACATACGTGGAGATTATTCCGTCTGAAGATGAAGTACTAACTTTAGCTAAAAAAGCACTGATTATCGGAAAGCACTCTAAAGCTTTGGCGGCCTATGCTGCAATGGGGTGATAGGTCTAAGTTAGTAAGTAGCTCAGGTGTGTGATTATGGTGGTGTTTCGTTCTCTGAGCTGGATATTTTGGTTGTGAAGCTTTCATTGTTCTTCAGAAGAACATCTTCAGAACAAACTTCAGACGGAAGTAAGTAAGTAAGTACTCTAAAGCTGTTTTGTCCTATTATGTTACTCTAATTATTCATAAATACAACCGCATCAGAGTATAAATTCAAAACCTTCACGTTTCACATACGGAGTGCAACCTGCAGATCATAGTATTAGCACTGAATAATTCAAAGATTCAACTTCAATCACTTTCCGATCTTGTGTGATCATCATCTATAATACCCATATCATACTTATTTTAGTTTTATGGAAATCGCTGTTTTACATTGAAATCATGAATGAGTCATTGTTAGACTTCCATTTAAAACCTAGAAGAATTGGACGGCTGTTTCGTCCTGGTATGGAATTCTTCAGCACTGCGCGTCCACGAATCTTGTTACCTGCGGGATTCGAACCCAAGACCTTCAATCTTTGGCGCGAAAACCGAGCCGGCATCCAATGGTGTTAATGTCAAACTTTGACAAAGCTAAGGTTTTGCTCAACCTTATCCATTGTCTTCGGTAGTTACTGCCTGAACCCGACTAGGCTGAACTCCACTGGTCACGTCCTGCGTTTCTATCCTGTGGACGTTCACTGCTGTTGAGCCCCATATCAGGACGAAACGGCAGTCCAGTGCTTCCAGCTTCCTAATGATGTTCTGGCAATAATGTATTCATGATTTGAATTTAAAATATTTATTCTAGTCAAACTCGCTTTCTAACATATAACTAGGTAGATAGAACGGTTTTGCCAGTAGTATTGAACCGAAATTTACTAAAGTCAAATAAATGTCACTGTTTCGATTGATAAACAAACTTACTATCTATTAAAAGGTTATATTTTCTTTCATATACTTAAAGATATAAATAAAATATATATTTAGAACTCAGTTTACTTGAAAATATCAGGTTAAACCTTGATTGTGGGATTCATTAAGATAGATTCAGTTAGCTTCATGTCGCCAGTCTAAAATGAGTAAACTACTAAGTTACGATAATATTTACTGTATTGTTGTGATAAATTTTTGAAATTTAATAGCATTTGGAAGAATTTTCTGCATAATTATATCACTTCCTAGTTTAGCTAATTGTTACAATGATTGACTATCATTGTTTACAAATTATTATTTAAATATAATCTAACCTGAAATAAACATCAATCATGTGGTTCTAACTGTTCTGTTTTTCATTTCATCAACATAATGATTCATGTGTACCACTTGCCTACTTATTAATATAATCACTGAGGTCAGTGTAGAAAGTAACTCTGTTTATGTTTGTCAAACAAATACACATTTACACTAAACGAAACAAACAAACAAACAGCAATTAGAAAAAACAGAAAAAAAACATGATGAATTTAGTTTTTATTTTGTTTTAACAAAATATTTTGTTTATATATAGAACAGAAGAACCTAACAGCGTAAAATAAATTTAGGTAATTCAAAATAAAACAGTAGTTTCATAGCGCAACACCTGCTACAATGTTCTTTTTTTGCTAAGGAAATTTTTCGAAGCTTAATTGTTTTTCTTTTCCTGCTTCATACACAAACATTTATGATAGTGTAAATGAAATTCTCATTTAAATTAGCAAATATGTGTATATATTTAACATGTTGGAGTTGTTGTGAATTTTTATTTGAAGTATATGTTAAAATAGTGTTATTCAGAAGAACAACCAGTCAAGCCAACTGAGCTATCAAAACAATTCCAACGTTATCCTGGGATCAGAATAGGCTTTCTCATCTTAGAATGACATATTTTCATGAATTCAACTGAGTGAATCCTCACTGTGTTAAATAATATTTCTTGGAAAGTTATTAAACAATGCATCTGTAGTAAGAAGCTATGACTTAAAGTATATTGAGTCAAGAAAATGTTCTATGCAAGTATGATCAGTCTGTTGAGAGATTTAGATACATATTTTAAGCGTAAAGTCTCAAAGTAATATTATCAGTTAAGGAGTTCTGTTAAAATTTGAACTTGTATGAATATGGAAAGTATTAGTAATAACTTTTTCACTGGTGAAATGAATGACTTAATTTATTTGTATAATCCATCGGGTAATCACTTTCACAAAAGAGGAAAAAAATGAGCCACCACCTACTCACCTAGAAGTCTCACTGAAAAGAAATGCTGACTAGTCGGATCCAAATGTCAAGGTCCTTTGAAAACCAGATGTACAGAAGAAGACAACCAATGAACTGCTCGTTTTGCAAATAAGAGACTGAAGATCAAGTGTACACATTTTGTTTGATAAAGTGTGGCTTCTTTAAATAAGCTACTATTCTACCTGCTCTTAAGGTCTAACATTCATTACAACTCTAGTTGTAGTCTTAATTTTACAAACGTTATTAATAACCAATTACTATATTGTTGAATTGACTTTCCACTCAATTTCAGACTCTATATATTTGTGTCAAGACCTGATATTTATAGAAATGAAAACGTACTTCGTTGATTCATTCATAGAAATCACTTTTGTCTACTAAGTGTCATATTTACCGGTGAAAATATACAGCTGTTTCACACAAAACCGGCACTAGATATTTTTTTCAGTGTATCAGACTATTGAACTGGATTTCCTCATGATAAGAAAAAATTTATTGTTTGATAAACTAATTTCGAACTAATTCGGTTATCACTTAAAGATTGTGTAGACCAAGTTAATGGCTGTCATGGTTTGTAAAATTTCTATCCGTTAAACTCATTATCTATCAATGCTAATAAGATCTATAAAACAATCAACTGAATTTTACTAGTCATTGGTGATAATGTTATTACTATCTAATTGAAAAGAGCAATTTTTTATTCCCATTGATAAGATATCAAACTTGCCGCTTCACTTATCTGTCAAGGTCATGCAAATTTTAATTAGTTTTCACGAATAATCAAACCCTTAGTTTAATTTTATAGCCTAAAAGACCATAATTACAGTTAATTAGTGGGAAGCATGAAAAATTAGAAAGTTCACAGGTTAACCAACAAATTAAACATAGAATAACTTATCAAATGATGAAAACCATTTTGACATTGGTTACTATTTTTATATATTTGAGGTCAAATCAACTTAGTTTGCGTAGAAAATTCAAAAATTCAAAAATCTGTATCATAATTAGTTTGTAAGAATAAAAATTAATCCTTCAGGCAAAAATAATTAAAACCGAAATTTCTATGATTTGATAAACTTTGTAGATGACAAATATGCAAGAATGAAGAATTTATCATCTTTTACTTCAATTAATCTTAATTATAATGTAACAGTTTTGATTTCCTGAACAAAAAAAATTATGATCATTCTTTCAGATTCAAAGGCTTCTATAATTTATATAGAGAAATTAAGTTGATCTATTCTCAAACAATTATCATATATGCTTCATCGTACTTTATACAAATAGAAAATGTATACAAATTTCTGCTAATACTTTATGAGCTCATTGTACATGGTATCTTTATTTGAAGTGTAATTTTATTCTAATGATTTCCAGTCATGTCAAAGTATCAATCTAACATGAAAATATGAAGTGAAAAATTTGAATTATGCTGACAATTCACGCATAAATAATGATACATTATGGTAATAGAAAGCTGCCACCGAAATAATCCAAATATTTTTTCAGGTATAAGTTACATAAAATTAGTTTGGCTTTTATAATCTTAAAAGTATGCTCACTAAAATAAGAATTTACACGAAAAGTGAGTTAACACAATTTTAAACTTTGATAGTTTTATGTAGTTAAATATGATAACAGTACTTTTAAATCATCCAGGATAGGTAAGGTGTTGACGTCTATAAAAAGGTAATATTAATGTCTCATTTGAATAAACTGGGTGATAGGGTAACGACTTAGATTGCAATAATGATTTAACTTCCTGTTAGATTCTCGTGAATACATTCACTATTTCTGGTCTAGACATATCACAGTGTGCGGTAAATTTTCATTTCAGATTTCTAGTAATGATAGAAATTTAGAGTTGCGTAACATTATCAATAAACTGTCCATACATTAACACAGATTTAATCACCTTGTTTAGACAGGAAAAAACTTTGCTGTAAAAGTTTCTTATAACAAAGTATCCCTCAGCAAAGAATGGGATTAGATTGTGTCTGAACAAATACTAACACTTTATATTTTTGAGAGTAACGTAAGGGAATGTGAACTCTGTATATGATTGTGCTGAAAAATAACTTTACTGACGAACATTGTGAAACCGAAGACACAAGCTGTCAGCAAAATCTTTTTGTGAAATTCATACAGTTGACAATAATTAATACACTCTTATCTGTTTTTTAGATAAAGATTAGTAAAGATTAAAACGTCACAGTCAAAATGAAACTTTTAGTTTGTAGCTGTGAGTAACATGATGAGCGAACTATCGAACTACCTATTATATTAAATATTTAAACAGAAAGTGTTATTATACGCTCTGATTCATTATCCACAATTATATATGATTAAAAATCCTCCATATTAACAGTCAATTACTAGAGAATAAGAATATATCATGACAAGATACATCCAATATATTAAAGTTTACTAATATCTACCTTATAATCAATCCAATAATAAAAACTTTATGAATTCAATTTAAAAGAGTTCCACTTCTTCAACCAATCGAATTAAAATAAGAATTATAAATGGACTTTGAGGAAAATGGCAGGCAGTCCAATGTTTTGAGGTTTCTAATGATGGTCTAACAATGATTGTCTGATGATTTCGACGTATAAAAACACTGATCTCCAGAACTTTAACTTACAAAACTAAAGTAATTTTTGGATAAACTGAATGTTCGAAAATTCACTAATTTATGGTAACAAAAATGTAATATGTGATACATTCCAATTCAATATGCAAAGATACTTAATTCATTGTAGATTATCACAAACATCAACCACATGGAAAAAAGTGAAATATGCAATCTGTTGTTTGTTTAAGTATATTTTAGTTAGTTAAATTACATCGCTTTTTATAGTAATCATTCATCCAGTTTGCGAATAGTCAAACTCATTTTGAAGCTAAACAGTATTTTAATAGTTTATTAATAATAAACTTCTTTTAGATTTTATTTACATGGTAAGATTGATCAGCTAAACTGTAATTGGTTTATTCATGAAATACAGTGAATGTTTATTCTAGGCTGGTAAATTAGGTAATATAGTTGAACAGAAACAAACGTTACGATGAAGTCACTCAGAGTCATTTTGATTACTTTACACTACTTTTTAGTGCTGAAAGCAAGACCGAGAACTTTAGCTGTTAAATCTACTGGGAAATAATGTGTATGAATAAGGGATTTGCGCTATTCAACCTTGCATAACAGTTTAAAAAATAAATGATTCTTAATATGTAACTCTTATCATCATCATATCTAATGAATTGAATTGATTTTCATATTAAACTTACAATTGTACAAGATTAAAGGAAATGAAATATGGTTTAGATTGAGTGGAGTAAACTTGATCAATAAAAGTATAGTTATGTGTATCAATAAAAGACAAAACTACCGGCTTACATAGAAACACTTTTGTTTTGTCATCAAGTTAAATATGATCTTACTAAATCTGATTGATTGATTGATTTATGAAATAATTCAGATATTGTAAACACAAAAGTACTTTGCTTACCTGAAGTACATATTTCATCAAGCTCATTACATTTCAAATGACTGGATTCAGCATCTGTACAAAACAAAAAGTAAGATAAATAACAATATATGGAAATTTTTTTTAAATAATGATAAAGTTTTTCCAAAAAATACAAAAGATTTTATTGACTCTCTGCAAAAGTAATTAATTTTTTTCAAAAAATATATATATACCAGTGTTACCGTGTGATAATGATAATAATGTGTACAGTTTCAGATGCATACGATGAAACCGAGATAATATTCAATCTAGTAAATGGAATCAGTGAATTTAGATTTTAAAGTCAAAATTGTGAAAATCCTCTTCAATGATTTGAAGGCGAATAAAACTTATTTATCACAGTTATTGAGAAAACCAATAATTTATGAGACCAACTAAGAAAATTGTAAAAGCTACTACACAAATTTAAAATGAAGAATTTTATACTTGAATAAGTGAAACACGAATTAAATTTATTCTTCATTTGATGTTAGATAATGTTTGAATATTCACTTTGAAAAACTGATAACTTTCTTCAGTTACCAACTTTCATAAAATTCATATACTTACTAGCTACTAGGTGGTGCAAAGTAATGTTCATTGAGAAGTTGAAACCAATGACAAGAAAACATAGATATCAGATTAGTGGCACAAGTGTCAATAACGAAATTTATTTGATGGCTACATAATATCACATAGTATTAAGTGAGGTGAGAAATGTGGGGTTTTGGACTTCAACTTAATAGTCTTAATGTATCAGCCTTAAAATAAAAGCCTATCGTACTGTACTTGAGATCCCTTGAAGAGTTTTTGATGGACAACACATAAAAAAAACAGAAATCTAGTGCTGCCTGCTTTTGCTAGCAATGTTTCTGTTGAAAAAGTCATTTAAATAGTGAAATTCAAAATATTTAATGACATTTTGGTGTATAATTGATGATGTCTGTTAACCATCACTTATATATTTTCCTTTTCTTGTTTTAAATTTCCCCAAAAAAATATGTGACAAGCTAAACGGATACATTCAGTATGATTATAAAAGTAATGAATCATTTTCAAATAACACAATTCATTGAAAGTTCGTTCAGCAAGCAGTACTTGATGAAAAACATATTGTTTTGTTGACAAGCTATGTTTTATCCATGACAAAAGGTTAACTACATCTCATTATTCTCTCTGAGTAAATCTGGACCATTCATTTTTTAATTTATTCTTACAACTAAAGTTTACCGTACAAAATCTTGTTAACTGAGACAAAATATTTATTATTTACCATCCTTTTTTGTAGTCATTCTGTGTTATCCATATTTAAATGCATTCTAATCACGTGTGCTTCACCTTTTACAACAACTAGACTGAGATTCGCATCTAGGTTAAAAGTAGATCATCAACTTTAATTAGTGATTAGAATTTTCATAATACAGACTTAACGAGGAAGATTGTAAAATCACAAGACAATGTAAAGATGTTAAAAATTTATCCATTTTCTCCTATTTCTTGTAACAAAATAATCATTGAATTGTATAAATTCTGTAAAAACTCCACTTATCGAAGTTTATCACATTACTAATGGCAAATAATATACATTTTTGATTAACTGTAAGCTAACACCGTGTCTTATGAATTAGAATCTTTTGTATAGTGGATGTTTATTCCTTGATAGTTTTGTCTTCTCATTAACATCCAGATAAACTATGCATATCCACATAACTGTCTATTTATTTTCAGTACGTCCCAAGCAAAATGAAGAAAGCAATGATAAGGAGAATTCAACAACAATTAACCAAACCCAAAAGAATATAAATCACAAAAGAGTTAAATATGTGCCACTTTTGAAACTCTGTAAACACGCTTTCTTATGTATTGGATTTTGATGGCTTTTCAAAGCCTTTTAATTATTTAATAAATAATAATAATAATAATTTAAAATCACTGAGCATTTATGCTCTTTTGTTTGATAATCATCAAATGGATAATCGCCTTATCATACAACTGACTTACTTTAAACTTCACTTGTATCAAGACAACTCACTTCTGTTAGGTAAAGTCCGGAACATTGTGTTTTGTGATCCACAGTTTATTTCCTAATAGATCACTTGATCTATTAAATCACTGTAAAATACGATTGTACAGCTATTGAGTAAATGACAAAGCTAAAAAGAATTTTTTAATCACTCTATTATCTTCAAACTCCTCCTAATCAGTAGCAATAAATCGATTTCGTTGCTTCAATATCAATATACTATTTATATGGTGATTGTTAGAAAACAGTAGGTTCAATAACATTTTGGAGTTTTTTAAATTCATCCAAATGGACAATAGTTAGCTCAAAACATCAAACAAAAAAAAACGACTTTTAATCAATAAAACAGTTTGGTTTTAGTAAGATTAAAACACACCTTCGAATGAATCAACAACAAAGTGTTTCAAATGTTAAACAAAATTCGAAAAAAATTATAGTGTTTCAGCATTGATCACACAGCTTTTCTCTATGAAATATCTGTATGAATAGTTAAAATAGATTACGGTGCATTAGTTATTCACAAATGTACATTAATAATGCACTGTGATAGGATACTCCCTTATTATTTTTTTTCTAGACTTGGTAATGTTACTGTTTTCTTCATCTCTATTACTGATCGATCTGATCAGCTGCTTGAAAGAAACACCTATAAGTCTAGTCACAACTAAATGTCATAGTGTCGAATAAACTTTAAAAAATCCATATGTTCATAGGTGTACGTTGTAGAAACTATACCACTCCACTTCGAAATGTTGTATTTTCAATAATATGGACCGAATGAATTATAGATAGTTAAAGTGATGTAATAACAACTGATCTAAGTTCACAAATGAAAATAGTCAAAATACTTTAAATGTCATTTTTGGAAACTTCCTTTCAGTGTATAAATACATTACTGGTGTATTGTAGGGTATATGTAAGATTACTTATTCCAAAAGGTTTATTATATAAAAAATTTTTTGAAAAATTTAACTTTTATCCTTAAATGTAAAATGCATCTGACAATTGTGCTTTTAATACGTCATCAAAGTATACAAAAGGAAAATGTCAACATGAAAAAAATTTAGTTAACTCATATGTAAGATGAAATATATGCTTTAGTTCCTCAATAAGCTGATGAACAACTTGTAGGGCACATAACTCATTGTCGTTTAATGCTCGAGGTTTTCCTAATCATATATGTAAAATGTTTAGCGTAAAATCATGTCAATTCGCTTAACTAAATAACTTCTGTTCAAACATTTTGTTATTCTTTGATTTGGTACAATGTATCAACAAAATTGGAATGGTGAGTAGTTTTATCTTGGCCATCACACTGGCATATTTGCGAATTAGTATTTGTATAAAACACTTGACCGAAATTTATTACATGATGGAAACAGGTACTACCATTCAAGACATGTAAAAGGTCACTTAAAATACTAACAGATTCGTTCAAGATTGATTCTTAATTAATTTCTGTCATAAAGGTACTTTGACTAGTTACAGTTGTTTGACAGACCTACAGATGGTTTAATATCTTCTAACAAAGGTTAGTTGTACATTCTCGAGCAGATAAACTATACATTAACCCAAATTTATAGGTACTTTATAGTGACGAGCTGCAAGTGGAGCTGATCTTGTGTCTTTCCGACTACCAGCAACTACATACACCTCGTATATAGGAATAATGCCAGCCAGAGAAGATCAAAACCATTTCGCTCATCTTTCGTGCTGTAATTATCTCCTTGTTCATTTGCACAGTTATGGTGCTTTCACGGACGATTAACTGAAAGACAAACAAATCTTTTCGACAAATTCTGACAAGTGATGTTCAAAGATTCATAGAGCCAAAAGCACTTTGTCGATAGATGTAGTCATTGGATGATAGTCACAATGTATCGTAGACTAACTGACAGCAGAAATAAAAGTTACTCAGTTCTATTGATATGGTTTTAAAAAGCATGAAACTTGCATTACAACTTGGAAATCTTACATTTTTTGCTTACTGGAGTCTTACAAACAACAGTATTAAAATGCCCAGCTGACGTCAATCAATGCTACGAAGTCTCTTTATACGGAAACAATCTGCTCATTTCAATCAACTAAGAAAAGCAACCACTACTAGCTTAACGAATCCGTTTTTTTATAGTATTTTCACAGCTGATCATATTACCTAGATTGCTTTACAGACAGAAATTGTTAGTAAATAAATTCATACATTTACGAAGAGGAGAAGTTAAGCATTCTAACACTGAATAAAGGAATTTTCAAACAAATGTTTATATGTTAGCCAAAAAAAAGTGATTTTGTTTCTCCCATTTTTTACTTGATATATTACAATATGTCAACACTAATATAAATATCTATTAATGTTGACATTCATTTTAAAAAAAAAACGTAATTTGAATTTCATCCAGTCACTTTAATGATTTTTGTTTGATTCACTGAGTTCCTGTGGAGAATACTCTAACTAGATCTATGATTCTTCATCTAGAAGAATTAATCATCTCTTATTCACACGAGTTCTCTAATCAAAATAACATTCCATCATGTTGTATTGTTTGCACCTAAACACAATTAACTTCTTTCAAATTTTCATCATACTTCTAATCATAAAAATGAGTTCTACTCACTTATAACACATCGATTATTTTTATAAAAGTTGAATTCTAAAATGAGCATGAAATTCAGTCGTTTCATCCAGAATAGCTGTTGTTGTAAAAGTGACATTAACGTTACATATTTCATTACATTTGTATGACTGTTAGTTATAGTGCTCATTCGGCACTGATATATATATATATATATATGTTGTGCTTCAGGAACAATTTCATGAATATACTGATTGTTAAACGAAAAATGCGCTCCCAGTTTACAAATGTGAAAGATTTTCCATAATTATCTGGTTAAGACTACTTACTGTAAAGTATAAACCATACAAATAATTTATCATAAATGAAAATACTCAATAAATAGTGATAGTTAATTTGAGAGGTTTAAATTTTCTCATTGTTTACATGGAAATCTGGAATATATATATATATATACT